CTGATTCAGTGGTAAATCGATTATTGATGAAAGTTGGATTCGTTTGTAGTTGTACTTTTTTACGATTATGCAGATGTTCATTTGTATCGATTTCGAACGTCACTGGACTGTTTTCATCGAGATCTTGAATGTTGGAGATTGCTTGTGAACGTTTAATTGTTGCCGATAACTTGTTGGAGTCACTATCCACGCCTCCGAGACGTAGTTTATTTTGATGTCCGGCAAAAGACGAACATGAACTTAATGAAGGGACAGGAAAATGGTGTGAAGACGGTGACATAATTGGTAGAACTAATGGTGAAGATGATATGGATGATTCATCGGGTGATAACGGCACCGGTTGATGAAGACTACTCGTAGTATTCATTCTTGGTATCTATCGACATGAGCTAGAACAGACAAGTAAACATGCTCATATATGCACAAGGAGCAAGAGAGAGAGAGATAGGTGTAATAGAAGAAAAACAAGAATTTGTTGTGTTCCCATGAGGATGTTCGAGAGAAAATCTAAATGAAATTTACAGCTGATGCTTGATATTTCTTTTCCTTCCAGGCTGCTTTTTATTCTTCATTTATAAAATAATATTGATACTCGCCGTCAAATGAATATAATAGTGATGACGCACATGTATACAATATATTCTTGTCATTTAACTGAACTCCGACATTCCGAAAGCATGTAGGAGGAAATAGATAAATAAAAACAGCTAAGCAAAAAAGAATAACTAGTTCGTCGTCAACGTCATTGCTCGATGAAAAAGAGAACTTGTANACAATGTCTAATTTTGTCGACTTTCATGTTCTGTTCCAAAATCTTTTTCTTTTATTGGGTCCTGTTCTGTTACTCATCAACAAGAGTCGACAAAAGACCAGAGAGATGAAGTGCTAAAAATAGCGAATTGGAAGCGTGTGCGAACGCGCGCGCATAGCATCGTCTTCTGTTTCTTTCTCAGACGTGTGCGTATTTGAGAAAACGGCGGTGTTCTGTCCCTCTTTCTCTGGCGCTCCGATTTTTACTCACGCGCTTTCTCAGGCGTCCTTCTCGTTTCGCTGACGACTGTTGTTGAACAGAAATGTGCACGTATGTTAGTTAAAGAGACGGATAGATAGCGCGCATACGTTCAATGAGGGTGATTGAGAGAAAAGCATCAGAGAAATATGAAAAAAGAAGAAGAAGAAGAAGAAGACGACGAAGAAGAACGAGAGGGTCGAAAGCAACCGTTTCGCCGTTGCACACATCCAGGGTTTTGTCGATTCTTGTTGATGAGTAACAGAACAGGACACAATAAAAGAAAAAGATTTTGGAACAGAACATGAAAGTCGACAAAATTAGACATTGTGCACGCGACACTTACATATCTAGGTCTTGTCTACAACAGAGAGATAAATATGAATGAGTGTTTTGAGATGTATTGTTATTACGAACGACCTTGAGAAGCATCTCTTAGAAAACATGATACTCACATGATGTCATTGCTAACAATAACATCAATGATACATTTGCTTTTCTCCTGTCTTAACCATTTTATGTTGTGTTCGCCAATGTTGGCCGAGCATTTGTCTGCTATTAGTTTATGAGAGACATTCATTGAAAATGACGAAAAACGGCAAGATGCGCACATTACCAAAGAAAGAAGAAAAATCTAAGCGATAGGCAAGACGCGTGCTTCTCGTACTATACTACTGTCATCGTGCCCTTCCTATTTAGCTCTTTGAAAATCCGAATATATGACATGCAGATATCGAAATGCAACTTAACTGACTACGAAGAAATGATAATTCAAAGTTTGACATTGTTACACAATTGAATATACAAACAAATAAATGCTCCGAAATGGCCCGGTATGAGTTTATATCAATAGAACGATGAAGGGAGAAAAAAGATGACGAAGAAGAAGAAAAAAGGGGAGAAAAACTCAAGTCTTCTACCGGAAGCATCTCGCTTCATCATCATCATCATCATCATCATCATCATCGTTATAGGAAGTAAGTACAATATAAAAAAAAAGCGATGAAAGTAAATCAAACCTATTCCTCATAAAAGATAACCGAAGTTTATTGACGAAAACCTCTCGTACCGACGAGCCGTATCAAGAATTTCCATAAAATACGATACTATACCTCCAAAAATCTTTCAAGTCTCGTATTTCTCTCATGCACGGCAAGCAAACCAGCATTTGAGCCGTAATACCAACAAAAAAACTAAAGCGAAGAAAAAAAATTCGTCAGAATTATATACCTTCTAATTTCCGACAGCTATGATCCATAAAATAACACTGCATATATATTCTGAGAAAGACAAGCAAATAGAAAAAGTGATAAGTTTTGCTTTAGTGGTATTTCAAAGCTATTTAAAGGCTCAAATTCAATACATGTTTAATAAATGATAGGAATCTTAATTAACATAAAAATAAAACTAATATATTATTCCTTTGCACTGATATCATATTAGTTTCATTTTCAACATCGACTATTCTACGAACCTCGATGGAAAGATTGCAGCTGGACATATGATCTTCATAGGATAAATGAACAACGGACTTTTAGTTAGAGAAAAGCCAAATATGAAATACAAACATATTGAAGTTCTTCGAGAACGAATCGACTACTATCGGAGATTTCTTCGTGATACATAATCTCTTCATGACAACTCTCGAGAAAGTGGCTCACATCCTTATTCAATGTGATTAGAAACAGCTTACTCATTGACTAAAAGGTACTCTTCGAACAAAAGAGGACCGATGCGAATATAAATGCATTATAGGTCATTTATTACAAGATGTATTTATAGATTCGAATATCTATATAAAGAAAGAAAATCTTTTCTTTTGCAAAATATCTTCTCTTCTACCATCATTGTCAGGGGATTGAAGGAAAGAAGATATGACAAAGAAAATGTGTTTTTTTTCTGTCCGTACAATGGGACATTGAGTTGAGCAGAAGTGTCGGATATGTTTTAATATTTAAGTAGCATTCGACTGAAAATAGAATGGCGAAGAATTGAATTCAAATCTTCTTTCCAGTTATTCATAGCATTGGGAATCTTTTGTTTTTTTATGAAACAAACTTCTTGTTATCAATGAAATGAACTACATTCTTATTATAATCAAAACAAGGTCGCCTGTCCTCTAGTTCCAACATGGATTCATCTCACAGAACAGTTTCGTTTTCGAACGAATGCTTTTGAGATATGAAATAAAAGCTATTTGTACAATGATTGAGACATATTACGTCGTTCCCTGCAGATATCGAACTTAATCGAGCGAAACCAAAGGAAATCGATGCTATCGACTACGCGAACTCCCACTGTTTTGCGTTGACGGAGAACGTATCGAGTCGATTTGTATGCAAATGTGAACGTGTTTCAATGTGGTATATAATAGTTTTAATTGCTTTTTTCTCCACTTAAAAAGGCCCGTCTGTTCTGGAATATTCGTCATTATACATACATTTTGATTTTTAAAGACGTAAATTTCTATTGCTTATTCATTGATAGAATCAATATTGATTATGACGACGAAATAGGTAAATTTCAGTGTTATCAGGATATTTTTACATCATATATATTTACATTTCAAAGGTCATGAGCTACACCAAAATTCGAACTATCATCTGTTCTCAAGGAGAGAGTTTGTCAAGATAGATTTCGTAAGTAAATAAGACCTTGAAAATTCTAGTTTTTCTCTTCTTCATATCAAACCGTGTCGAGTCCATCAGTTTTCTACCGAGTAAATAGTCACAATATTAAAATCGAGAGAGAAAAAAAAGTGAATACCATTATCTAGAGTCAACATGCGTGCTGTTTTTGCTGAGATATTAGATAGAATCATTTATATTCATATACCCCTTCGTCGACACGGGAGTGTTAAAAAGCATTTGAAATTTTCTTTGCTGCCTTCGCACATACACTTGAGTAACATACAACGACCACGACTGTAAACAGAAAATTTCGCAATCATTCCATGACAACGCCCTCTTTTGGTAAGTGAAACAAAGGAGCAAAGTTTTTTGGTCGAGTAATTGAAAACATTATTCATTTACAAGCTGAGAGAAATGCCGTTGAAGTGTTTTATTTGTTGTAATTTTCAACATATGTTCGTCATCATCTTGACAAATATCTCTATTGAGATGCGTGTGACATCTAATAAGATCACACGATGCATTGCATCCGACCGGCGAAGATTCTGAATAGATCTGCAAAATTTCTGTCGTTTCGTCTCCGTCTTCATACTTTTTCTTCCTCTCATACGCACATCACTCAACATCGGAACGAAGCGAACTTCTTTACGATGTTGTTTGCAAAAAAAAAACGTCGACAGAAACTATGTCTTGAGCTGGTTCTGTCCGTTAATGAGAAACGTTTTTTTCTTCGTTCTCGTTTCTATTCTGACTAACATAATTTACCAGTACGTCATTCCATCCTCATATATATATTTCTTTTCTGTTTTTCCTCGTCTCGTCATCGTTTCGGTGTCTTTTTTTTCTCGACAGTACATCGCTCGTCAAGATTATGAATGCATGTTTGTGTGCGTACGTGTATGTGTGCATTATTCTTACTTCGCGTAGATGCAAGACGTTCGCTTGCCTACATCATCACGATCGTTTGTGTCGTTCCATTTCTTTTCTCTTTTATAATGTAAACTTCAAACTATACACATCGACGCCTAACACATTGCCAATGTATGACGAATGAAGTATTTCTCTACTCGCGTTTTTTTCTTTTCTCTCTTTGCAGATAAATAAGGGGTGAAATATATCTTTAACAAAAACGAATCTCGCGTGTTATTATCGATAGAGGAAAAGGAGATCAAGTCATCATTTACATATCTTCTTCTTTTTGAAAACATCGTCGAAAGCAATAGAGTGGCTGTCTTCGCAGAACCAACATTTTCTGGTGGTAAGTTTTCATGAAATTTTCGGGGAAAAATAAGCACGTAGACAATTTTATTTAGATTGGATGTTTTTGAGTATAAGGATCGCCACATTTGAAAGTCAACGTCATGAAATGCTCATTGTTATCTGAATACATTGAAAGTAAGATTGTTTTCCTTTCTATCGACACTCAATCATTATGATTTTGTTCTACTCCGTAGCCGTTTACGGCTTCGCCGGAAGTTATACCTATTGGTACTCATATTATTGGCTGTATGGCACAGACCATAAACATGTATGTTATCGTATTTTAGATGTTTTTCTAGTAGTATGCGCTTGTTTTCTTTTGCTAGTTTGAATTCAGTTGATTCAACACCAATGATTTCCTCAACGACGCCCTCCGATGACGAAGACGCTGCTGACGATCATCATCAATTCCTTACCCCGTCATCGGATCTTAATCCCACGAAAATTAACTCCCAAGGCGTCGTCTCCTCCCATACAACTCTTACATTGAATGATAATAATAATGATCCCATTCAAAATGATGATTTCTCCTATTGTATTCAACCCTTGACAACTACAAAAACATTAGATACTCCACAATTACAACACACATATTTGAATCTAAGTGCAGCAAGCAGTGAAACCAGTCTTGCTCGACCACTCCTCATCGAACAACATCAAGCAGTACCTATCTATGAATCCCCAACAAACAACGAAGATGAACGAGCCGCTTCGTCGGCATCATCGACAACATCATCATCATCTTCATCGAACAGCTCAAACATTTCCATCGTACCGAACTGTCGTTCCTATATGACACTCTACTTCACTGACATGCTTATATCTGCATTTATCATCACACCATTTGTTAATATCCATTGGCGTGGTGCATGGGATCTACTCGATATACATTTACTACCAGATTATCCTCGAACAAGTGCATTGATTTCTTTGGGTATCGGCTATTTTATGCTCTATATGATTTATTTAACACAAGATTATCTACAACGATTTTACGAAAAACATCGACATAATGTTTTGGGGCAAATAATGACAAGATTATATACTTTATTACTTGCACTAGCGTACATAAATCAATGGCGTGGCCTGTGGAATTTACTAGATTTAACGAGTAATGAATGGTATCATTTGGTCGGTGAAGCTGGAATTTGCATAATTTTCCTTCTATTGATGAAATCGGTTTACAATCTGAACTCAGCACCTTTTCTCATCGGTATTGACACTGACAGTTATTTTCTACTTGGCTCGAAATATACCATAACAGTAAGCAACTTGTTTTTCCTCCCACACCGATCTGCTCTGAATGGCAAATTCTTTCTTTTAGACAAGTCATTTTTTTCAATACACATTCGATTTTTTCTATTATGAATTTGTTGAAGCGCCACTCTTGATTGTTACTTGGCGTGGGCTATACAATCTTTCCGATTCTTATATCTTTCCCGAAAGTCGGCAACTCTCGATGATTGTATCGTTTGCAAGTGGCTATCTGCTATACTTTCTTCTTGCACTCATACAAATTCCTGTTGTTCGATGCTTAATCAAGCAACGTCGTCATATTTTACATGCAATCGTATCCAATGTATTCCACTTGATTGCATTTCTAAGTGTTGTTCAAATATGGAGAAGTCTGTGGATTATTTGCGAGCAATATTTGAATATTACAGGCTATCACAATACTACTCTTTGGCTTTGCTATGGTGTTGCTTATGTCGTGTTGACATGTGGCTTGGCAGCATGTTCATTAAATGGACCTGGTGGATCCAAGGATAATTACATTGATGAAGGCCCAATACTTCTATTCAAGTTCGATTATTTCTCCACATTATTGAAAGTAAGTCTATCAAGTCAATAATGACGATCGTTTTTCGTTTGGTGTGAAAGAGAAATCGTATAAAACTATGAGAAATCTGTCTCATTTTCAGCAACAACACACAGATGAAACCGTACCGAGTCAAACTTCATCTCAATCCGGTTTAATTCTCTGGTTAATCGTGCATGTTCTGAGACGTAAGGAGCAACGTCGAAGAAATACTCTTCTGAATGAATCACGAAAGAACTCGATAGTTAATGAGAATGTAATACCAACTATCTCGGAAACATTGCCAGCGAATTAGGAAAGAAAGATATTCATCAGGATGGTAATAATCTGCTCGCTCACGTTTGATAGATTTCGAAAGATCATGATTTCAATCGCTCTTTCTGCTCTGAATAGATTTCATCGGTCATTTTCATACTCATTCATGGTTGTTTTTCTTCTTTTATTTCAGCGTCAATCAAGTAATCTGAAAGCAACTAAGGATGGTAGCTTGAGTTCTGATATATCATCAACAGAAACGATGATAGCTGCTGAACGGCTCTTTCGATTCGAGCCTCCTCCCTAGTAAACCATCAGCCGGGCGATATTCTTATTCATTATCACATCGCAAGATCAATTCATTTTATTGACAATCATCGATAAAATGCGGTTTTTCTCTGCGATCATTTATCCGAGTGATTGTAAAAACGAAATTCAAACGCTTTTCGTCGTCGTCGTCTTTTTCTTTGTTAATCATAGACATTCCTCTTTTAATTCTATTTTTCTATTTCTCTCATATAATCGAATGAACTCTTTCTTGCCCATTATTATTGTTCTTGTTGTTGTTTTCATCTAACTTTTCTGTTGGTTGGACTTAATTGAAATTCTTTGTTGTTTATTCATTTCTTCAGAGAGAGAATATAAAACTTTCAGATTTCCTTTCCTTTTCTTCTTCTGTTTATTGTTGGCATTACTTTTATTCTAACTGAAGCTCTTCTCTGTATCATAGCTTGGTCTTTTGTCCTGTACGTCCACACATGTCGTTGATATAGACATGGCAATGATCAATTGAAATATCAATTGAACAGTTTCTACTTCTTCTCTTTTTCATGCACGTTCGTTCACTTCTCTTTGATCTATGTACACAATTATTAATCTTTTCAAAATATAATACCAGGACAAATAATTAACATTGTTGGATGAGATATACGTGGAATTTCACGTCGGCCACCTCTGCCATTGATTCATACGGATGACGAAATAAGCATTTGATGTTGCTAGTCATAAAAGCTGGATGATACTTGAAGTTTTTTCGAGAGTATCTAGTTGTTATTATTCTTCGAGACGAAGGCAGTATTTCCTCATTAATTTGTTTTGTATGTACACTAAAAATGGGTGAATGATAAAATATTCACGTAATTAGAATTAAATTAGATATTTCTTCTCTGGGCTTTCATCTACTAGAGAAAAAAATACATTTTTTTCCTGTGTTTATGTGTTTATTCATCCGAATCATCTACACACTCGTTCTACTGATTAGTCACTGTTCGTTTGATTTTTTTTTCTAATTGAAAAAAGGTAAAGAAAACATGTTTGACTACTTCTTATGTTACCTTTGTTTGATAAATAAATCGAATAGAGGCACATCAGTTAGACGAAAGAAGTGTAATTAAACGAGAAAAAGACAACTCTTCATGCAAAGATGGATCTGTTTGACGCCACGTTTTATTGGGGAAGAATTACGCGACAAGATGCCGAAGAAGTTCTCGAACAGTCAGGACTGAAAAATGGACTTTATCTCGTACGAGAGAAGTTCGAAGAAGCAGGCGCTTATGCAATTTCATTATGTTTCTCCAAACGGTAAGGATTTGTTTGTGATAAAAGAGGAAAAGAAAATGGAATAGGTCATATGTTGAAGTTTTTATCATTATCGCATCGATCGACTGGCAAATGATCACGTAGTGCTAAATGGATCACGAGCGCAAGAAAAGTTTCCGCTGACAAGTAATAATTCAAGGGTCAACAGTCCACGTCGATCAGCAAAAGGCTCCGATCAAATGGAATTTCTCGGACCTATGGAATTGATTAGTCATTTTCAAAAGAATACTGATGTACTCATAACAACTCTATCAATTCCATGTCAGAGAACATTTGTAAGGTCGAAATGTTTGCTTGAATATGTGATTTCGATTTTCATCTGAGTAGGATCATAATTTCGTGCAATTCTGGTGCGTACCGTTGCTTACACCCGAGTTATATATGAATAAAGTCTGTCAAGAAGCATCCAATACCGATCCAGAAGTGAGCAGAATACTTTAAATAGAGTTTGTTTCATTCGTTTAGTTATTTTTAGATACCAATTAAAGAAAAATTAACCTATAAACGATATATTTATGAACGACGAGTGTTAAAGTATGGACTGTTTTGCATAATTAACATCATTTTCCGGTGAATATTTATAGAACATTGCATGAAGGCGAATCTTGGTTTCATTCTCGTCTAAGTCGACAAGAAGCTGAAATTCGATTGAAAAATGCCGGTGGAAAAAGCGGCCTGTTCCTGTAAATATCGTCTGATACAAATACATGTTAACCATTTTCATTTAGAGTACGAGAAAAACGTGCCGATAAACGCTCGCGCGAATATTATTCGTTGAGTTTGTGTTTTCAACGCGAATTTCATCATTATATTATTCAACAAACACCAAACAGTCGACTACAAATCGCATCGACGAATAAATCAACACATATCGATCAATTTGATAGTATTGTTCAAGTATGTGGAAATTCCTTCGTTGAAACCAATGATTCTATTCAATTAACATAGTTGATTGACTTCTATTATCGATACCAGAAAGATCTACCTTGTGCTCTTCGATTTCCTTGTACTCGTCCTGGTGGTAAATGAATTAATCGAAGTTCTACGCTTTTCTCTTGATCATTTTTTGTCTTTGTTACAGGCTCTGTGCGAATCATTCCTTATCAAACATTCTTAGGATGTCAGTACTGTTCTGTAGTTACCGTTGATAATGCAGTTCTTATCTTTAGTTGACACAAATACTGATCTCGAGACGAATGAAACTGATTTATGGTCTCCCCTATCACCTGCATCGGGTGGAATCTCAAGTGCCTCGTCATTCTTTGATTTTGATGTTCCTCATCCATCACCATCGACTGACTCTGACAATAATCAAGATTCGCCGTCAATAGATAACGTTCTTATCGATGAAAAATATCTCATTTTCGGGGACAAACTCGGTAATCATACAGCCGATCGTTTCATATTGATTGAATAACAAAGTTTCATGTAAATACGTAGGCGAGGGTCAATTCGGTGAAGTTTACAGCGGCAAACTAATCGGAAACAACGAAAACAACAATGGACTAACAAAGCAAACGTTACAACAAGTCGCAATTAAACAATTACGAAATCGACAAAACGCATTTATCAAAGAATTATTAAATGAAGGCGAACGAATGTTGAATTTAGATCATCCATACATTGTGAAGATCTTTGGAATATGTAAACATAAGACAAGCGTATCGTTGATATTAGAAATTTGTCCGTATGGTGCAATGAATCGTTGGTTACGATCGAATAAGTAAGGAAGATTTCAAGAGCAAGGCAAAAATGAATGAAGATTTTGTTTAGAACATTTCGAATGAGTTACATTTTGAATTATATGTATCAAGTTAGCGATGGAATGAAGTATTTACATGAAAAGAATATTATTCATCGAGATTTAGCATTGAGAAACATTTTGATCATGTCGAAAACGATCTGTAAAATATCAGATTTTGGTTTGTCGCGTGTTCTGGAAGATAACTCCTATTACCAAGTAATGCGATATATTAACATCGAACAATGAAAGGATTCTTTTCTTTTTTTTTGTTCAGATTGGACGTAATCGTCGGTTGCCTTCGATATGGTATCCACCCGAAGTTCTCGAAACATCTCTTTTTCATTCTCAGATCGATATTTGGTCATTCGGTGTCACTCTTTGGGAAGCAACATCCTACGGCGAACCACCCTATCGAAAAGTAAGATAGATATATTGATTGACTCATGGGCGAAGAAAGGTTTTGTTCGATGAAACGTAGGAGTTAACCGAAATGACCAGCTTACAATCGGAACCTGTGTCGAAAAAGTTACTTCATTTTCTACGAGATGGCAATCGTCTAAAACAGCCTTCTACTTGTTCTGACCATGTATATGATTTGATGCTCAAATGTTGGGAATATGAGTAAGGAGGATTTCCGAGAATTGTCGTACCGAGCGATTGTCGATTTTTATATTATTTTCTAGTAAACGGCAACGACCAACATTCGACTGGACAAAACAATATCTTAGCGTTTATGCTTTCCAAAAAGATGACCCATTCGATCGTTTTTCATCCAGTTGAATCTATTTTTTTTAGATATTAAAAATAAATCATGAGCGAATTGTTTCGACTTTTTCATATCTATAGAATTCAAATAGTGTTTGGGGAAAAGTCAAATCTATTATCTCTACGAATATTTGTTTGAATCAAACTAAAGTCAAATATAATTCATTTCATCTTCATGACAAAATTATTCGAACTAAAAATTAGCGGTTGAGGGTGATAGTAAAGTGAGTCAATCGCAAGATATTTCCCTATCTATTTTGCAGTTACCAATACTTTATCCTTAGTTATCCAGTTCTTTCTTTCGTCATGAACATGAAGAAACAGTTTAACAAAGAATCCGGCCACTATCTCTGCAGAATCGATCACGTATAATCCGCACTGCGCTGTTCTTCTATGAGCGCATGTTCTAGATTCCAAACAAAACAAGTAATGAAAAGAAGAACATTGTCTTCTATGTAAAACGAAGTCCTACATTATTCAGATAGAAAAAAAACATTTATATGATCGACATCGAAATGTTCAGTCCCCAACTATGGCCAATCTTCTACATATAACGACTAATTACAAAAAACACCATCAAGCCACACACCATCTTCTGCAGTACCGTTACTGAAAGTCATTTCACCACTTCCATGCATCTTATCGTCTTTCCATTGTCCCGCGCGCTATTCATTTATCACATCGAGTGAATCATATCACTCGACCCAGTTGTTCACAGTCAACACGCTAGTCATTTGTGAACAGATTCCCTCGTAACTACTACCATCAGCGAAGATAAAAATACCATAGCCTGTTCTTTTGTCTTCGATCCAATCACCATTGTATACGTCGAACTGTCCGTTCGGTTCTGGAGGCCATGTGAACGTGCCTGTCCCATGCATCTTATCGTGTTTCCAATCGCCCGCACGCTATTCATTTATCACATCGAGTGAATCATATCACTCGGTTCACTTCTTCGCAGTCAACACGCTAGTCATTTGTGAACAGATTCTCTCGTAACGCCTACCATCAGCGAAGATAAAAATACCGTGACCTGTTCTTTTGCCTTCGACCCATCCACCAGTGTATGTGTTTGACTTTCCGTTCGGTTCTGGAGGCCATGTGACCGTGCCTCTCCCATGTTTCTTACCGTCTTTGAATTCTCCCGCACGCTATTCATTTATCACATCGAGTGAATCATATCACTCGGTTCAGTTCTTCGCAGTGAACACGCTAGTCATTTCTCAACAGATTACCTCGTAACGGCTCCCATCAGCAATGATTTGAACACCGTGACCTGTTCTTTTGTCTTCCACCCAATCACCCGCACGCTATTCACTTATCACATGGAGTGAATCATATCACTGGGCCCAGTTGTTCACAGACAACACGCTAGTGATTTGTCAACAGATTCTCTCGTAACGCCTACCATCAGCGAAGATAAAAATACCGTGACCTGTTCTTTTGTCTTCGGTCCACCCACCAGTGTATGTATTTGACTTTCCGTTCGGTTCTGGAGGCCACGTGAACGTGCCTGTCCCATGTTTCTTACCGTCTTTGAACTCTCCCGCACGCTATTCATTTATCACATCGAGTGAATCATATCGCTGGGTTCAGTTATTCACAGTGAACACGCTAGTCATTTGTCAACAGATTCTCTCGTAACGGCTACCATCAGCGAAGATAAAAATACCGTGGCCTGTTCTTTCGTTTTCGATCCAATCACCATTGTAGGTGTCGAACTTTCCGTTTCGTTCTGGAGCCCATGTGAACGTGCCTCTCCCATGCATCTTACCGTGTCTCCAATCACCCTCGTAACGCCTACCATCGGCGAAGATAAAAATACCGTGGCCTGTTCTTTTGTCTTCCATCCAATCACCATTGTATGTGTTTGACTTTCCGTTGGGTTCTGGAGGCCATGTGAACCTGCCTGTTCCATGTTTCTTATCGTCTTTGTATTGTCCCGCACGCTATTCATTTATCACATCGAGTGAATCATATCACTCGGTTCAGTTCTTCGCAGTGAACACGCTAGTGATTTGTGAACAGATTCCCTCGTAACGGTCACCATTAGCGAAGATATAAACACCGTGACCTGTTCTTTTACCTTCGACCCATCCACCAGTGTACGTGTTTGACTTTCCGTTCGGTTCTGGAGGCCATGTGACCGTGCCTGTCCCATGTTTCTTATCGTCTTTCCATTGTCCCACACGCCATTCATTTATCACATCGAGTGAATCATATCGCTTGGGTTCAGTTGTCCAGAGTGAACACGCTAGTCATTTGTGAACAGAGCCTCTCATAACGGTCACCATTAGCGAAGATATAAACACCGTGACCTGTTCTTTTACCTTCGACCCATGCACCAGTGTATGTGTTTGACTTTCCGTTTGGTTCTGGAGCCCATGTGTACGTGCCTTTTCCATGCATCTTATCGTCTTTCCATTGTCCCACACGCCATTCATTTATCACATCGAGAGAATCATATCACTCGGTTCAGTTGTTCACAGTGAACACGCTACTGATTTGTGAACAGATTCTCTCGTAACGCCTACCATCAGCGAAGATAAAAATACCATGACCTGTCATTTTGTCTTCCATCCAATCACCATTGTATGTGTTTGACTTTCCGTTCGGTTCTGGAGCCCATGTGAACGTGCCCTTCCCATGTTTCTTATCGTCTTTCCATTGTCCCGCACGCTATTCATTTATCACATCGAGAGAATCATATCACTCGGTTCAGTTCTTCGCAGTGAACACGCCACTGATTTGTGAACAGATTCTCTCGTAACGCCTACGATCAGCGAAGATATGAACACCATGGCCTGTTCTTTTGTCTTCCATCCAATCACCATTGTATGTGTCGAACTTTCCGTTCGGTTCTGGAGGCCATGTGAAGGTGCCTGTCCCATGTTTCTCACCGTCTTTCCATTGTCCCGCACGCTATTCATTTATCATATCGAGTGAATCATATCGCTGGGTTGAGTCGTTCGCAGTGAACACGCTAGTGATTTGTGAACAGAGTCTCTCGTAACGCCTACCATCAGCGAAGATAGAAATACCATGGCCTGTTCTTTCGTTTTCGATCCAATCACCATTGTAGGTGTCGAACTTTCCGTTTCGTTCTGGAGCCCATGTGAACGTGCCCTTCCCATGTTTCTTATCGTCTTTCCATTGTCCCACACGCCATTCATTTATCACATCGAGAGAATCATATCACTCGGTTCAGTTGTTCACAGTGAACACGCTAGTGATTTGTGAACAGAGTCTCTCGTAACGCCTACCATCAGCGAAGAGTTGAACACCGTGACCTGTTCTTTGGTCTTCGGCCCATCCACCAATGTATGTGTGGAACTTTCCGTTCGATTCCGGGGCCCATGTGAAGGTGCCCTTCCCATGCATCTTATCGTCTTTCCATTGTCCCGCACGCTATTTATTTATCACATCGAGAGAATCATATCACTCGGTTCAGTTGTTCACAGTGAACACGCTACTGATTTGTGAACAGATTCTCTCGTAATCCCCACCGTCAGCGTAGATAAAAATACCATGACCTGTCATTTTGTCTTCCATCCAATCACCATTGTATGTGTTTGACTTTCCGTTCGGTTCTGGAGGCCATGTGAACGTGCCCTTCCCATGTTTCTTATCGTCTTTCCATTGTCCCGCTCGCTATTCATTTATCACATCGAGAGAATCATATCACTCGGTTCAGTTATTCACAGTGAACACGCTAGTGATTTGTGAACAGAGTCTCTGGTAACGCCTACCATCAGCGAAGAGTTGAACACCGTGACCCGTTCTTTTGTCTTCGGCCCATCCACCAATGTATGTGTGGAACTTTCCGTTCGATTCCGGGGCCCATGTGAACGTGCCCTTCCCATGTTTCTTCTCGTCTTTCCATTGTCCCTCGTAACGGTCACCATTAGCGAAGATACGAACACTGTGACCTGTTCGTTTGTTTCGGACCCAGTCATCGGTTGCAAAATTCATTTTTCCTGTAGCATGTTTTTTGCCATCTTTCATTTCTCCTTCGTTTGTGTTTTCAGGCATGTCATTGTAGGTGTCAGTTAGCGCTGGTGGAGGCTGACTAAACTGATGAATCATGTTTGAGTCGGGAATTGACATTGCATGGAGGGAGTTCGATAGCTGTCCGTGATGGTTGTCATTATCGGTTATTTCTTGAAGATGAACTAGATGCATGGACGCTTGATCTAATGGATCAGATAGAACGCGAAGTCGTGTGCCGGGACATAGAATAACTTCATGTTCGCTTGGATAATTGGTGTAATGAGATATATCTTTGCCGTTCACTGCTTCGATCAAGAAAAGTGTGGAGTCTGGCCCAAGAAAGTCTTTCAGAACTTTGATGGAAGTTGAACATGAGCTAATAGTCCACCAAGTAAATTCATCATTCTGCTGAAAACTCTTTGTTACATCTTGCGGAACACCACGCCACAGATTTTGGCGAACGGTTGGCAGCTTTTGTGTAGCTGAGTCAAACAGTTTCAAATAACCAAACCATGGTTTTAGTGTCGATCGGTCCTCCGCACGAAGTGAGTGGTTGAGTATGTGGTAGAAACTGTTTTGTCCCCAGTCCATTGTATAAAGAAAAACAGCAGCTGACTCATCTCGTGTCAATCCATGTTCGGATGGGAAATGGCATGCGCTCTTAGCTATTTTAGCAAAACGGTCTAACTGATGAACTTTTGGAATAAGAGGCTCTATCGCTTTCAGTAAAGGTAACAGTTCATGAGCTAAATAACCATAAACAGGAGGTACTCGTTTTGATGTTGATTCGATATTAGTAAAACGTTGCATATTATACTAAATCGGAAGAATAGAAATACAAACTGGTGATTAAAAATGATGACCGAAAGAAATTTTCGCAAGTGATAAACGTGTTATCTCTTTGATAAAATAAGAAAGAAGAAAAAGATGTATTGTGTCTGCGAATTTATAACTCACTTACATATCTTCAACGGTGACTTATAAGCTCGTGAGAGAGATAGCTATCTACTGTTTAAGATAAGGAAAGAAGAAACTATTTTGGAAAGAATTTCTGTCGTAATTCGCAAACAATGATAGGATGATATCAAAAGAGAACACATAAAGCTCATCTAAAATTATCATTAGCTCGAAAGTTTAGTAAAAATTTGATCTCAAGCATTTATGTTTGTAAAACTCAACAAAATTGTCGAAAAACTATCACAACACAGATTCTTTTTCCTATCAAAATTAGTCAGAAAAATCGGAAATTTCAGATAATTGCAAACTCCTACGAATGTTGAAAACTAATTTTTATTCAATATTTTAGTAGTCGACTCACGTTGAGAGTTTAACATTCTTCTTATTTGTAGATTCTCCTGAAAAATGTCGATAAAGTGACACTACTTTCAACGTATTTTTTTCGATTTTTCAACATCTCTTTCAGTACAACCTATTTTTGTGAGATAGTACCGTGATGTGTTCTATGTACAGTATCCAAACCGATGTAGTATCAAATTCTCTCGTTAGAACCGGTCAGCAAAGTATTGAAGTAAAAACTAAATATTTTGTATGATGATATTTTTACCATCGTTGCCTAGATGGCAATTCTTAATGAATGATCCTGACATATAGCAACCTTGTTCGCAGGGCATCTACGGACAGAAATAAAAAATAATGATTCGTTGATGTGTTTGCACAGAACGCAAAAAAATATGAGAGCTATCGCTTATTGCTGTTGTTTTTCATTTAAAGAGAAAAAAAAACAATACGATAACATTCTACGATGCCTATGGATGAAGCGAAAAAAAAATTGTTGTATGATGCATGTTCCGGCAACGACTATGAAACTTTTATAGGGAACTGGGATATTTCCGAAATTGATACTGCTCTAGATGACCAAGGCAACACCGCTTTACACATTGCAGCGTCTCATGATCATGCAGATCTTGTTCGTTTCTTGTTACTTTGCCATGCAAGTCCAACAAAGAGGAATAATGAAGAAAAAACTCCAGAAGAAATGGCATCAGATGATGAAATTAAGGAGATGTTCAAAGCTGAGATTCGACCATCGCCGACAACTGAAGCTGAGAACCGTTTTGTTGGCAATCCGGACGAGTTAGAACCAATCGAATGGTTGGATTCGTATAATAATGCTTATCGAATCGCGTACGAAAATCACGAACACATGAAACGATGGATAACTCGCGTACCGTTGAGAAAATTGCTAGACGAACTCAGAAACAATTATATTCAGAAGATGAAATTCTCGACCGATGGTAATCTAGAAAAAATAATCGAATTTATCGACGAAGCCATCAAGAAGAACGATTTAATTAAACTGATTACCCTCTATACGAATCCTATACCCTTTTGTTCAAGATTAAATGAAGATTTGGCTAAACTGGGATCAGATTTTCGTTTCGTTAGTACACAATTAGATTCTCCAGACAATGAGGCACCAAAAGACCTTGGTCAATACATATTCGCCTCGCTTCTTGTTAATCACCAAGCCTTTCGACGTTTTCAAAAGACTGCAAAAACATATCGTGGAATGAATGTATATGAGCAAGATTTGAAAGAGTATGCGGAAAACAAAATCGTCATTACTCGTTCATTTCTTTCAACATCGAAAAAACGCTCAGTTGCGGAAATCTATTTAGGATTCGAAGATTCGGCTAAGGGTCCAGCAGTTATGTGCATTTATAATGTTTCTAATCCTCGTTCAAGTCTTCACATTCAAAGATATAGCCGATTTCCTATAGAAGCAGAAGTATTGATTGTACCATTTGTTGCCTTCAAAATCACATCGGTGAAAAAAGAAATTGTAAAAAGAGCTGGAAAAGACCAAACACTAACAACAATCGAATTGGTGGAATGTGAACAAAATCCGAAATGAAGTATGTCAAGTAACCTTTGAATTTGTGTACAATGTGTTTTGTGATATTTCAATTGCATTAGAAGTTTAATAGAACGCAATTTAGTTCGCTTAGGAAAACATGTACCATGATTGATTTACATACTGTGGAAACTTCTGTTGCAGTTTCAAGCAATTAATTATTTTTAAATGCTTAGAAACTAGCAATAGCTTTGTAACGTCAGTGGATTTTTTATTTTTCGAAATAAAGTGTTGTCAATGAGTGAATAAATCACTAGTTTTAGGATTCCGTAACCAAAGTGGCTGAATGACTATTCGATTGAAATCAAGTTCATATTATCGGGATTGCCTGTTTGATTGGAACCGTTTGCACTTCTTGTCATAGAACATAGTTTTCATAGATTAACATACCTATTGATAGAATGTCGACACAAATGTCGATCGCCGCAGAATAACACACAATGACAATGAAGAGTTTTGTACATGAACATTCAACTACCGGCGATTGTTAAGTTGATTTCACAAGAATTTATTTTCTTTAATATTCAAACAATGTCTTGATAACGAAGATACAATTAACGTTTCTGATATATTCTACTGTTTACATGACTTCTCAGTCGTTATATCCGTCTGCGACAACACATCTATTCAGGAAGTCGTCCGTTTAGGATTCGATGATTGAAACGACAGCAAAAATGACCTCGGAATATACATAAATGTGTGAGACTAAATCTTCGTAGGCGGCCAAACTGTTGGACAAGCAAAGACAAACTTCCGACATAATCTTATTCGTCGTGTGTATTTTATCGAAATTGTCTATTTACCCAATACTACAACGTTTACCGGGGCACTAAATTCATAAAAAGAAGAAGAAGTACTACTACCATGTTTCCATGTTCGCCGTGTCATTTAGTTTTCTCGACGTCAATCACGATCGTAAATCGTCGTTCGATGTGTTGTTTCAGTAGAGCGATTTTCTTTTGTATTTATCTTTCTACACAATAATAAAGACCAGCGAGAAAAACTAGTAGGAACTTTAATCAGTTTTCTTTTATTTCTCTCATATAATGCCAATATGCCATCATTTTATTGATGATGCTGATGATAAGAAGCGGAAAACGTTCAAGTACCTGTCTCTGCCAAATATACAATAAGAAAGGAAAAGAAAAGCTAACGAAGGTTATTGGTAATCAGAGAAATGTTTTTCAAGAATAACGAACGAAGATTGAGAGAGAAGAGGAGAAGAACAAGAAATCAACTCATCATTAATTGAACATTGGCGAACAGAGAAACATGGATAAAAGTATAGGAACATTATATCATAAACTAACAAATTTCTTCCATACGAATACTTCAACATCATCATCTTCGACTGCATCGTCCACAAGTACATCAATTCCGATTTCGACATTTTTTGATCGATTAATTCCATCTACATCAAATGTTCATACACCAGCTATCCATCGACGTCGTAATACTCCGCTTCTTTCTCGTCAAATATCAATTAAAACAAATGATCATCAATTCCCATCGCAAACATATTCAGCTTACATTCAGAAAAAACCATCAATTAAAACTCCCAAACAACACTATTCAGAGTAAGGAGGTTTTTTTGCATCTTGATGTTTCGCGTCTTCTCTCCTGTACTAGAATTCGACTAATGATAAACGAAAGAAAATTATTCGAATTCTTTACAAACGTTTGCTTCTAAAATAAAAGGATTGATTCTATTCCAGACTCGAGAATGAAGACTTTGCATTTTGACTGCTGTATTTAGTACTGGTGAAGAACGAACGAGCGATCAGTCATTGAACTATACATCACCATCGTCTCAATATCAGCACGAAACGAAAGCACCTACGCCTGGAATGGACGATGCAGAATTTCGTCGGCGTGGAAAAGAAATGGTTGATTACATCGCCGATTATTTACTTCACATCAGGTAGATTGAACAGAACGGTATCAAAGTTTTGCACAATTCCATTTTGTCCACTCATAGTGATCGACGAGTGACGCCGGAAGTTGAACCGGGCTATTTGCGATTCATGTTACCGAAAACTGCGCCAGAAAAAAGTGAAAAATGGGATGATATCATGCAAGATGTCGAGCAAGCAATCATGCCCGGAATAACACATTGGCAACATCCACGTTTTCATGCGTATTTTCCGGCGGGCAATAGTTACCCATCGATTCTTGGCGAAATGCTCTCTGCTGGCCTTGGTATCGTTGGCTTTTCGTGGGCGGCCAGTCCAGCGTGTACAGAATTAGAAACGATCATGTTAGATTGGATCGGTAAGGAGAACATGCTACTGATTTTGAATCGAACCTGTTATTGATTAGGTCGTATGATGTCATTGCCTGTTGCTTTTCTACCCTTTGATCCTCATCAGCATTATAAAGATAGTGACGATTCATCGTTTTCTCAAACCGACGATGACGATGATGAGTCGAGCGAGGATCGCTCTGTTGGCAACGATGATGAACTTTTTATAAAAAAACAAACTGATCATATTGGTGGCGGTGTCCTTCTCGTAAAGAATCTCTCTGATTCACTGAAAGAAACGCTGTATTTATTGTGTTGTTTCATAGGGTTCAGCAAGCGAATGTATTCTCGTCGCTATGTTGGCCGCTCGAACAAAGAAAATCACCAGCAAACGACAAAGTGATCCACTGATGGAAGATGGGCAAATTCTCGCACGATTGGTTTGTTACACATCGAAACTAGTAAGCTGTCCTCGAATATCCAATATATTGTTAAGAGGTACAGTATTTATGTTTAGGCACATTCATGCGTCGAAAAGGCTGGATTGATTGCGATGGTTCGCGTTCGTCAATTGGCAGTTGATGAACACTTTTCACTACGAGGTAAAACACTGGAAGATTCTATTCGAGCTGATAAGGAAAATGGTTTAATACCCTTTCTGGTATGTAAAAACTGATAATTGTTTTTCTGAGGTGGTGTTCTATTTTTAGGTGTCAGGTACACTGGGTACAACATCCTGTTGTTCGTATGATAATCTGAAAGAAATCGGTGAAATATGTCAACGTGAAGAACTTTGGTTTCATGTTGATGGCGCTTATGCTGGCAGTGCATTTATTTGTGAAGAATATCGTTATATTATGGAAGGTCTTCAAGTAGGATAAGTTTCTGTTTCCTATTCAACCATTGTATCCATTCTTTTCTGGCCTATTGTAGTATGCAGATTCATTCAATACAAATCCAAATAAATGGTTACTAATGAACTTCGATTGTTCATGCTTCTGGTAATTTCTTGTCGCATTATGTTCCTTCGTTCAGCTGTATGTGTTGCCTGGTAATAGGGTTCGCGACAAGTTCGCGTTGATCAATGCTATGTCAGTTGATCCACTCTATTTACAACATAAACATGCTCAACAAGCAGTTGATTATCGAGTAAAATGATTAGTAACGGTCGTGATATAATTCCATTGTTACTTTCTCTGCATATGTTTTAGCATTGGGGTGTTGCATTGAGTCGCCGATTTCGTGCACTTAAACTTTGGTTTACAATCCGAAGCTATGGCGTTGAAGGTCTACGACATTACATTCGAGAAGTATGAAATTTCGTCATTTTTTCTGATCCTATTGGATCTGTTTTCTGTCTTCATTTAGCATTGTCGTTTAGCGAAAGTATTTGAATTATTACTTAGTGCAGATCCTCGTTTCGATATTATTGGTGATGTTACTCTAGGTCTTGTTTGTTTTCGTTTGAAAGTAATTAGTCGCATTATTCTTGGTGTTCTATTCACTTCTGAGCAAATCTTTGAAATTCTAGGGTAGTAACAAATTGAGTCAAAAATTACTCTTATCTCTCAACGATTCCGGTCAAATTCATATGGTTCCATCGATGGTCAACGATTTATACATTATTCGTTTTGCTGTTTGTGCTAAACATGCCACAGATGATGATATGCATGTTGCTTTTCATGTAATACAAGAGCACGCAGATAATGTCATTACTGAGTATCGTGTTCAACGTGCCGGACGACAATCAGCATCCGCTGATTCACTAGAAGCTGCTTTGAAACAAGCATCAATAACGAGTCTTGAGCGAGAAATAACACCATCGCATGATAGAGTCGTTTTAGAAGCACCAATCGAAGTGACAAACTATCCAATTCCAAAATTTCGAGTAAACAACTAAATAAACAAAGTAAAGATGTTTCGAACTTATTTTCTTTTAGTCTAATACTATCACAACAATGACGCCACATCATCGTGTCACGTTTGAAAAGCCAATAGCTAACCTTCTGAAAGAGAAACGGTCGCGTCCAATGTTTGTTCGTATGGTATCAGATGCAAAGCTCTATAATCCTAAACGAACTAATCCGCAATTATCACGTCAATCATCACTAGTCACACCGCGAGGACGAAAACGAATTCAAAGTGAGCTGGGTAACCATGCTACACGATCGTCGAGCGAACGATACCTCTCACGTACAGTCAGTATTCTCGAAACCGTCAATTCTGATGAAGGTGAACTTGATGATATCAAACAATAAAAGTCGATGTTTTCCTATTCAATGTTTGTCTTGTCTGTCAATATTCATGTTTGTTACTTACTCTCAAAACAATTCGTCGTATTTAATCATTCTTTGAAATAAATCTACTTTTCGACAACTGTTTTTTCTTTCGTTCGCAAACACACGATACATACAACACCGAAAAGCACACAATATTGATCATCTGTCTCAATCGAATAGTATACAATCATCTTGATTAAAGTAAGAAAAAGAGAAAACATGTTCGTATAAATAAACAATAAGATATAGAAAAGAAAGAAAACATATAAATTAAGTGGTTCAGTCGCTTTTGAGATGAAATATCTGATTTTTGATAGACATCGAACATATTCGACAACTATTTGAATGCACATCGGTCAGCGAGCTTGTCAAGAGCAAGCATTAGCTGAAGAAATTGAGCCATTGTTGGAGCGGTGGTTGTTGACTTTGGCGTATTAAACGTTGAAATATGGCTAGAATAGAGAAGATAAATACGTAAAAGTGAAATCTGCCATTTTACGATTTGATGTACCTTCGATCTTTAGCTTCTTGTGGCATTTGATCTAACTTTTCTTTGATAAGCATGTAGTAGCATTGGGGTGCCTATTGAAATTTCTCGAAAATGAAATGATAAGGCATAAGATTGTACTCACCTTATGTTTTATTTCGAATAACTTGAGTAATTTGGGACCGTCGATATCGACAAACATAGGAAGAAATCTGAAACAGAAAGTATACTATGAAGACGCATGGATTCAAACAAAATCTTACTTTTCTAAACCATGTTCACCTAATAGATGTTGTGTATCTCTGAGAGACATTTTTTCCAGAGTAGTCACTGAAATTGGCATGGGCTCGGATGCTTTATCCATTCGAAATTGTGACATTAAATGCACTAAAGTATTCGGCGGAGGACTAGTACGTGAAGCCAGTGTTTCGCTTGCCCCTGCTGTAGCAGCAGCAGCAGTTTGTGTTGGTGCTGAACGCGGTGGTTCGGGAGGTGGAGGTGCTGCTACAATAAGATTATAAAAACACGAAATATGCACAATCATTGAAAACGTACGTTTATTGGATGGCGAGATCGTCGGTTTCTTCTCTGTTCGAGTGTTTAAAGCTTGAAGTTCAGAAATTGTTTCTGAGTAAGCTGTTTCAAACGGCTTTTTCGCGAAATTGACATATACTCTAGTGCCAACGATAATACCGAGCCAACCACTACGAATCATCACATGAATCATTCCAGATAATTTCAATATTAAATGAGAACTTACTCAGGTTTGTAATTGGGCTGGAAGAGAAGCGGAACTATATGCTTTTTGCGTTGATATGCATATTCGCATTCTAAACATTGAAGAAAAGGAGTTCGTTTTTCAAAAACACTAATAACACATGACTACCTAGTCGACAACTGGGTGAATCTTTGTATTTTTCTGTGTAACACATGAGAAAAATCGACGAATTTTCAATAGCATCAGACATGGCATCCAGTAAATTGCCATGCATTTTTTCCAGATCAACTGCACACAAAACAATAGCTAGTGTTCATTCTCTCGAGATTTTCTTTTGTTACTCACTCCAAACATTATAACCATCAGCTACTAAATGCTCTTTAATTTGTTTGGATAATTGTTTATTATCATGATTATAAGAAATCATTACATTCCTATCGGTTTTCTCTGTAGGTGATGCTTTGCTTGCCGGTGGTTTCGGCCCACCCATCAACGTACATAAACATCCCGATGCTGATCGTCGTAATTCATCATTGGACGCTGTTTGAGCGATATTATGTAGAATTTCATTCAATCGCTTATGATCACTATAAACTTTTCGAACATTTGGATCAAATGCTAAACTCCAAATTAATGTACAAGCAGATATTTGTTCCTGAGTATTTGTATGCTGTTCCAACATATTCAATAGACTATCGAGTAATTTTCCTTCCGCAGAAATCTAAACGACAAGAAAATGACAAATGAAAATCCATTCAATCGAACGTATTTCTCTTCATATACTTTGTGTTTGTTATTATCAGCGACTGATAATTTCGATAGACCTTTACATAGTTCTCGAGCTTCCAATCCATTCGATCGACGTTCATTGTTGGTAACTGCTCGACTTAAAAGATCAACCAAATACGGTATCGACTCTAAAACAGATATATAATTTAGCTGAAGAAAAAAAAAACAAGGATCAACAAATACCGTTCGAGTTAGTCAAATAAACTCGTTCATCCTCTCGAATAATATACGCTAAAGTTAAATACGAAATTCCTCTGAGAAAGATATTATGTGAACCAACGATGGGAATCAGTCGATTTAAAGCCTAAATGAATTCGAATTCGAATCCTACAAATCTGGTCTGATCAACATACTTCTAAACATTGATGCTGTCGTAGATGATTAACCAATTCAGGCACTTGAGCAATATTATGCAAAATTGAAACAATCATATCGAATAGTTTCTTGATTGCCTAAGGATATAGAAAAAAAACATTTGAATGATTTTGATAAAAAGAGTCATTTTCATAAACAAACATCATTTGATGAAAAGTTTCGCAAATAATTTTCATGATTGAGATTATAAATCAACATTGGCACAAGTTGTGCATCGACCACAGCCTAACAGAATTAAAAACAAAATCAATACGATTCTCTGATTCGTTTAAACACATACTGTGCACATTGCAGTGGATTTGTCTGTATAATTCCATAATGTATGAACTAAGTAATAACTGACGTGCCATCGTTGTTGAGTTAGAAATACATCAGTATGGATTCGTTTCAATATTGGATAGCAGAGTTCTATGATATTTCAGGAATTGTTATAGAGCAAAAGACCAAGAATAGAAGACTTACTAGCATATTCTCTTTGGAGTAAAGTGTCGATTAATGTTTGAAAATTCGATGTGTTGTAAGTTAATGTGTAGATTTTATCAAAATATTGAAAAATCGTCACCGTTTTATTTGTTTCGTAGTCAGTTTCTGATAATCGAGTTAGCTCGTCAAGTTTCGATTGTAGCTGGAAGGAAAGGTGAATCAAAGAACAAGGGCGAGCAATAAAACAACCTCACCTGTGACATTTCGTTCGATGTATTAGTCGTCATAGCTGAAAAATGGATCTTTTTATTATGCTGAATCAACTCCAAAAATGATTCATCATGGCAATCTATCAACCACCCACCACTGATGTCTAATCAGACATAAAGTCGTTTCTGATTGGCTTAACTTTTCTGTAAGAAGCGAACCAATTGTCTTTGGGTTAACTTTTTTCTCTTTCCTGTGAAACTCATATTCTGAAAAAACTCGAATTAATCACAAGCATGAAAATATTTATTGTTTTATTTAATAAAAACAAAGATAATCTTTCTGCACAATCTTAACATGCCGAATAGAAGAGAAATTTAAACTTGACATTGAACATGATCATCATGATTTCGTCTACGGTTTAGCCTTTTGTCGGTTTTTAGACACACTCAGCCATCTATGTAATCGGAGTAGAAGAAAGAAGTTCTATCTGTCTGCAGCACGAGCATCACCTTGTCCACAAACGCCAGTCACATCGAATTCAGATCTGAGACGAACAGTTAGAAAATATGTTACGCGCGTTTGATGAATCATCAATCCAAGGCAAACACGCCCGGCATCTATAGGTCAACTAGACGGTTCACTTTGCTCGCCTGAAAATAGATCTATCGAATTGTATTCGGTTCATGATAATAATCCTGTTCAAATCGATTCAATTGAAAATAAACTTTCGCAAAAATACGAAGAAAGAACTTTGGTTCATCCATCATTTACCAATCAAAGAATTTTTCATCCTATCCATACACTATTACTACTCCGCATTTCGAATGTTTGACGATTGTTTTTTCAAATGCTAGCGCGTTTATTTCGTATTCAAAATCGTACTGCCATTTACGATCGAGCACATAAAATAACAGCATCGTTTTTAATTGGTTTAACAGGAGTTGCTTTTCTCGCTGTGTGTCATCAATTATACAAAGCGAAAACCGAATACCTTCCTGAAATCCGTCGACGTGGTAAAGAACGTTTAGAAAAGACACTGGCCATACGACAAACTGAAGCTGAAATTGCCGAACAAGAACGTATCGTCGCGAAACAATTAGAAATAACTCCAAAAACATTAAACTAAACATGTCCAGTAGCACAGAGAATAAAAATACAAAACAACATGAAGATGTAGAAGAAAATGGCCCATCAGCTTCTAATGAAGACGTGGAATTTGACTATCCAGATGTAAAATATGAATATCTTGACAATACAGCGGATATCCAAATTCATGCGTGGGGAGATTCATTGGAAGAATCGTTTGAACAGGTTAGATTTAGAAATACATCTTATCTGTAGTGTGCAGTGTTCCTCTCCTATTGAAATAAATATGCAAAAGATCAATTAACATTCGTGTCTGTATTCGTCATACAGATCGATTCAATATACAAGGGGATACTTTCTATTCACTTTCGATACTCTTAATAAGAGAAGAAGCACAGTTTGCAGCAGTCCCTCAGCGATTCTTTCAAGGATTTCCACTTCCGTACATCTTTAGATCTCATTTCCGTATTGAATAGTCTATCAACCAGAAGTATTAGTTCGAATAGTGTAAATAAAAGAAATCTTCCATTTGACATGAAGGGAAGTGCTGATTAACAAATCTGGCTTTTTAGTCTGTGTATAATTTGTTAATAATTAAATTTGCATATCATGGAAAACGTGTTCTCGAAAAGATCGTTCGTTGTGTTCGGTGACCTTTTCCTAATTTCTATTGAACTTTTAGGCTGTGATGGGCATGTTTGCATATATGACTGATATTGATCGCATTGAAAATCGGGATATGAAACAAATCGACATACGCGCCGAAGGTGATTTACAGAATTTGTTATATAAATTTCTTTCCGAATGGCTGGAAGTTTATGGTACCGAAGACTATTTCGTTGCACGAAAAGTAGAAATCAATTTGTTCGATCGAAAAGAATTACGTATCATTGCTCGTGGCTACGGTGAGACATTCGATTTATCACGACACGCACAAGGAACCGAAGTCAAAGCGATCACTTACTCGAATATGCAAATACACGAAGAAGCGCCCACACATGACGTTTATGTCATTGTTGATATCTAATGTGTGTGTGTGTGCATAGTTTATCTTTTTTGTTGTTTTTCTTTATTTTTATTCTTATAGATTTATACACGCGAAGTTTACACGATTGATCATTAGTGATTTCCCTGGTGACACTTGAAGTTTCTCTTTCTTCTAGTTATTTGTTGTTGTTATTATCACTAGCACATATTTTCCATGAAATAGATCACGATTCAATTACAAATACAACCAATCAATAGACGTGTATATGACTTTATAGAGTATATAAATACAGGAGAAGGAAAACATTGTATCTAAAGAGCAAACTAGTCTCGATGAAGAGTGGAGAAACACGCGTACCCATCTTGGATAGTTTGATGGAAAACACGAAAGAATCTATCAAATACGGAACGAGACATCTCGTTCCTTCATATATATATATATGTACGTGACTGTGATGTGATGATGGAGTCTTTCATTCGATGATTATCATCGCGATTCGTTGTCGTTATCGATAATAGAACAAAGAAATAAGGAAAAGAAGAGAGAGAGAGAAAACTCGTTCTTACTATTATATTTTTCCGATAGAAAAAATCTTATCTGCTGCTATATCGAGCTATTTGTTCATACATTGTGTTGGAACATCGCAACTAGTGGTTTGCCTCTATTTGCTCTCCCTCTCTCTCTCTCTTTCTCTCCCTCAACACATTTTCTGCAACGAACATTTACTAAGGCCATGATGATATCGATTTCCTACAACTGACTGTCATTTGCTCTTCTTCTTCTTCTTCCTTCTCTCTTTATTCTATATTTCTTGTTGTCATTAAGTTTGGTCCTAGTGTGTAGATATTGTAAATAGTTTATTAAGACCAATTGTGCTTTGATTCTACGATTGACAGGAACGACAACGACGGATTAGAAGACGACGATGAACTGATTCGTATTACACGCTACACTCTCTTTGCATTCAACACAATCGTTCTTATTCGACGCTTTGTTTCCTCGTAATCTCGTGAAAATTACTCTTATTATCAACGTCGATTGCATCTACCTCTTTATGCTTCCATTTCTCGACTACTGCATCGACTGAAAACAAGATTTGATTAGCAACGACAAAATGATGAATGAAAAGAATAATTCCATGGGTGGACAGGTAATTATACTTCGTAGATAATCTCCTGTAGGATAGCTTATTTCCTGATCACTTCGTTCTGATAGTTCGCGTGTTCGTTTCTGAAAATGCCTCGTTTTTCTTTGTTGTATATGGCTTATTAAAGTCTCCTGTGTGCGTGTTTACAGTTGTCCACACTAATTTCATGTTCAACGAAAAGCATGGAGCAGAAAATGGGATTTAGCTTGCATTCATTCTCTTACTTGTTTCCCTTTGTTTAACAATTGAGACTTTCCATTATTCTATACTTGCTTAATTAAACCTGTTCGAAGCAATGTATCGAAACACACTTCCGGTAAGTGATAAGTCTGCTGTAGTTCGCCTCTCCATCGAAGTCACTGTGGATTCGTCTGATTGATTTATGGAAATGACTGACTCTACGATGAGAAATGTTCTCGGGATTAACTATTGTTTATCTGTGATTGATTGTGTTTGAATAAATAGAATACGAAAGAATCAAGAAAACATCCGAAAGCAAAGTCGAGTTTTGATGCTTGTCATTACAGTCTAAAACAGATACTAGAACAGATGTTTGTCGGAAGCTGCTAAAACGTTGTAAGAATGCATTCTTGTCCCGATAATTAAAATACTTTTTTTTTCTGTGCTATTTGTGGATAGCAAAGCAAGATTAGTTGATATTTTCATTTCACATCCCTACGAACATTGAAAATAGATTAAGTGAAGAAGCGATAGAGATGATTAGATTTTCTAGGGATTTGTTAGGATAAACAATCTTTGCTTTCTTCTGATAAAAGAAAATATTTGATGGATAATTGAAGATCTATATCCAAGATAAGATCGAGATCTTGTTTTGATTGAGAGGAAATTAAGGAAAATTAGATTGGAGATCAGACGACGTAGAGAATAATTAATGAAAAATAACTTCATCTCCATGTTGATGTCCGATATTCATCAACAGTGTTACTTTACATCGTTTTACATATATGGATATCTAATGCATTCATTAACATCTTGATTAGTTCGAAAAGGAAAATATTTTGATGATTTCTATCAAAATACAATCGAGCAAAGTTGTTTATCATCGTTGAGAGATAAATCGTTAATATCGATCATCATCGAAATGATTGATGTTACCAAAGACAGCTGTGAAATAGAACAGAGAGAACGACTTGTGTTAACACATCAATATTCTAGTTCGTTTCGTTGTCTTCATCAAATATTGAGAAAACACGCAAACCACGTCAGAACATTTTAGTTGCAAAATATAATTAGTGAAAGTTCGCTGGATGGAAAACGCAAAAAAACAGCCACATCGTTGTGTTGATATAACAGTTTTTTTTTAGAACGAACAATGTTTATTTATATGTTCTCGAAGTATAGTGGGAATTCGGGATTGTATATGGTCTAATATAGACATGATAAAGAACGATTGTCGGTGTAATGTAAGACAAATACAAATAGGATAAAAAAAAATCTTGATCTATGTGTCAATGTCATGAATATAAATATTGTAAGGATAGAAATGGATCGTTTTGACAAGCTTGGGGTTAGATGAGATCCGGGACCTTGATGTATCAAAAGGCGACGATGTAAAAAAGACAGATCGATAAGAATCAGTTTCCACTCGGCGAATTATTAGAGAACAAATGTATCTAATGAGAGGAGAACAAGTTGGAAAGAGTAAATGTTTGTTTAAGAAGAACAGGTGCATTTATACTCGAGAAAACTCTTGCACTTAATCAATGATTATCGAAGCGAAAAGGACACTATATAAACAACATGGATTTCAACGAAAGTGAAGTAAGTAACAACGATGAATGAAACATGATTGTCTAGAATAGTACTTCGAGTAGAAATTACTCACTAAGCGATTTGAGCAATTTTGTCAATAAGGAAAATCGCATCGACGACGCCCTCTGTTGATATTCTGACGATCTACAGACAGGTAGCGACACATTTCCAAGTTTTTAATTAGAATAGAAATGTGTATGTACAGTCTAAGTGAATATATCAGACAGTTGGTGTCATGCATACTGCACCCTACTACCCGATTTGTCGCCAACGTATGAAAACAAATCCCGGCGATAATTTCGTTCGTTTTCTCGTGCTTGCTTTCGAGATCTAATCAGTGACAGAAGTCGTTCCACATGATCTATACGTCTTTGAGTGGTTGTTTTCCCTGTACATCCATGGTCGAACACATCGTTGGCCTTGAACAACAACACATAAGAAAATTGTTGACACAATTCATTTGACTGAGTATATAGAATCGTTTTTAATAATATATAAACTTTTACACACAAGTTCATGAGAAACTATGTTTCGAATGATAATATTTGTCAGAAGCACACTTTTCTCTGGAAATCGGTTGATTTGGTCTTGCAAAAACACGTTTTTTTTTCTCTCGACTGAACGAGCTGGCTTGAATGGAAACTATTTCTCTTGAATAATATAAAAGAACAAGGAAATAACATCGAATATTTTCTTTGCATTTCTTTCTGTATTTGTTCAATCAAAGTAAAAGAAAATGGTAAGCATGTTCGATCAACAGAAGACTAGAACTGAGGTGTTACCTAGTCGGGTCGTTTCGTCCAAATAGACATTTTATACCGGATATTAGTCAGAGCGTTCAAATGAAAAGTAAACGAACAGCAACAAAGAATGAACTTGCTTCACTGGCTAAAAAGCCGGTTGATCTGGAATGAAAGACTATATAAACAAGACGTACAGTAATATTTGCCTTTTTAGTCAAAATACATCTAAAAGTGATAGAGCTTTCCCAACTGTATAGAGCATAATGACAAATTGTATTCAGGAATGTCTAAACGGTATCTGTGTAATGTTGGTAGGTAAATGAAATGAGAAAATTTCTTATTGAAAAAGAAAGAAAGACTTTAATTTTCTCACTTTTTTTCTTAAATGCTTGGCTAGTTTGTTTGTATGACTTGTTACTAAGAATATTTTATTGTGCAGGTGTGCGAGAATTTCATTTTGTCAAATATTAGACTTGAAAAGCTTTGCTTCTCTGAAGAAAGTAGTCAACTATGTTCTTTTTTATTCACCAATTACGCGAATATAAAAGTAAACGAGAAATACAGGTAATTGAGTATTTGTTGTGAATGGAAATTGTTTAGGAAGAGAATTTGTGTTCAATCAAAGGTTAGACTTGAAAGTTTATTTGACTTTCATCGCAGCCGGCTGTATGTTTTTTAGTAGACACTCAACGAAGGCTATCGACGTCAGAGATAGTAAATAGGCAATTAACTTCTTTTCTTTTTCTTCTTTCTATTTTCTGTGTAGTTTCTTCTTTCAGTATCTACGGAGTTTAGTAACCTATTGAAAGAAGAAAATCGAGAAGAGAATAATAGCGAAAAACCTAATCTCTTCAAATCAACAGTCTCAATTACTTCAAGCTTCTTCTTTTCTCTTTCTCTCTCGGTTGAACTACTCTACAGTTATTCTGATATTTTAATAGTCGAATAAGCAGAAAAGAAAATTGAAGAATGCATTCGAGTGAAGATAAGAGTCTGTATGTCGATCAACTATGAGCTCATTGATTAAATAACATCTGGTGCCGAGAAAAATGGATTGAAACATATTTCTTTCGTTTTTTATTGTTTGACAACTTGAAGGGAAAAGAAAGCTGACTCAAAATCGTTTGCTTCTCTTTTTCATTCGTTGCTTTCAATAAATTGTCTTGTTTTCATCGTTTATCTTCTCTTCGTCATCTTTTCTTTTTTTCCTCATCATTTTCTTTCTCTTTCATTATCATCAGCATCATTGAGAATCGTCAGCAACCATCAGTTGAATAGTAGTCAAGTAAAGACAAACCAACCATTCATTTTATTATTAACCATCTTCTTCTCCTTCTGTTAGCACTATTCGTCTTGCTTGTTCTCTCTCTCTCTCTCTGTTCGTTTCTCGTGTCCCTTTTATCTCTCATATAGCAAATAGCTGCGAACCAGCAGTCTCAATCTGGATGTCTGCAATGAAAAAAAAAACCAGAAGAAAGAAGGAAAAATTGACTCGAGTTAGGATTCTTAGACAGCGAACGACGAAGGGTCTGAGAAAAGGAGAAAAAAAAAGTGACAACATCATGCATACTAGAGAAAGATGAAATGTAGATGGTTTGCCTGAAATTATGACGGATGAAAGATAGAACAAGTGAGAGAAACATCGACATGGCTTTCTGATGTTAGTCTTTGTCGTCAACGTTGTTCTTTCCATTTGTCGTCTTTTTGATCTTATTCTTTTCTCTTTTCATCGTCATCGTTCCGTTTCGGCGTGACGATTGACGATGTGCACATTTTCCCGCTTCTGATTTAATTTTCAAATCAACAACAAACATAAACATAGATATAAATATCCATTTCCTCTCAATACTCTTATCTCTCCACAACTATTCCGACTTGATTCTTCGCTTTTTCTTTGAACACACAATTGTTTATTGTTGCATTTCGATGACAACATGGCTACAATGGTTCGTTATAAAGTGAGTGTAGCTCATTGTCTATTAAGCTCTAGTCTCTACCCATCTAGAAAAAAAATTTTACGGATCAACTTTTCCTTTGCTGTCATTTCCATCGACACATAAATATCTATTGACCTAATAAAGATTCATCATGCTGAGTGCTTATGCTCTCGATAAAACAAAAAAAGATCATGGCGATGAAACTACTCGACGGGTCTGATTAAATATAAGCAAATATATCTTATGCGTAAGAGAAGCAAAAACAGCACCCGATTAAGCTTAATGTTATTGAGTAATCAACAATATCATACTGAACAAACTATAAGAACTATTATTTGAACTCTATATCCATTTTCGAAGCTGAACTAATGAACGTCATTTTCCAGTTATTTTCCTCTCCCATTGTTCCACGATTTCCGTCAATAGTTTGCCATATGCATTTCAGTTCCAGTCGATTTTCTTCTTTCATATTCTTTCTTTTTTCCTACGTACTATTCTCTTATTTCTGTTAATTTTCATTCGATACGAGAGACTCTGTTCGAATGTTTGCATCTCAACATCAACAAAAACAACGAGTTGAACTTGAGGGAGACAAGTCCGATCTCTTGCAGTGTTGTTCCTTTTGCCTGGTGAGCGACCAAACGAAAAAAAAGCAATCTACCCATTTTCCTTTTGACTATCGGAAATGTGTTCAATTTAAAACTAAAAGTAATTATTACTTATTTTACTTCTGTTCTCTAGGAATTAGTGGGTGGAACGAGTAAAAAACAAAATTGGAAAGGTTTAGGCATCGCTTTTGTCGTCATTGCGATAGTTTGTTTATTTATTGCCGCGGCGATCTTCCTTACGAGTACTCGTAAGTCCTTATCAACGAATCTTTTTCCGTTTAATTACATTACTATTCTCTCAATAGGTTCGACAACATCTTCTCATGGTTTAATTCCAGTCAGTGAACAAGATATATTTAGCATAAAAATTCCTAAGCCGTATGTGTCCGATCGAATCGGCACGTTGATTCTATGTACACTCATAAAAATGATTATTTTAGATGGAATGGCACGTGGATATCAGATGTATCATTTTCTTATATGGATACGAATGATTCGATATGGATTTATAACTGTGATACATTGCAAGAAAAGTTACTATTTCGAAGAAGTCTCACTAATCAAGAAGGTACCGCGCCAGGGATTGTCTCGCCATCAACTCGGTATATTTTAATCCCGATTAATAAAGATAAAGTATTGAGACGATTTTCCATTGAATCGGAAAAGAAAAAAGTCGGCGAATTTCCTCTATTCTTCAGGTACACCGCTACTACACAGACTATTATTACGACTTATATGAAAATTCAAGGAAAATTGCATCAATTGCTGTGTGGGATAAAAAAGTTTGGCCGTTATCAGCTGTTCTATACTCAAATTCTGATAGTTACTTCGTAAGGATTATACATCCTGAGTCTTGACGAGTTGTTAATATGATTTGTCCTCTAGGCTTTTATACAGGATTTTGATATCTATATCTATGACACTGCGAAGGCAACAAGCATTCGTGTAACAACAAATGGCAGCCGCGAAACGGTTCATAATGGTCTAGTCGAATGGATCTATGAATGTAAGTATCTTTTTCTTCGAGCTAGAAATCTTGATTATTAACATAGACGGAAGCGAAAGAGCCTAAAGTGAAAAGATATCTAATCATCCGATAAGAGTTTTTATTTATAGAAATACATCAGAGACTCTAATGACGAACTAATAGTCTCTTGTCTTATCTTACGCAGATGGAATGTTTTCGATGAATTATTCTGTTTGTTTTTGTTTAGATGAAATTTTCAATCGACATCTTCTACTATTCTGGTCACCGACAGATCGTTATTTAGCATATGTTAAAATTGACCTCCAAAATGTTTCGAAAACGCATTTTCTCGTCTACGATCTGTCACGTGATATTAATGATCAGTATTCAATCCCGTATCCAAAATTTGGTGATAAATTACCTTTGATCAATGTTTACATCTATAATATCAAATCAGGAAAATCTTTTCGTGTACCACGTCCAGTTGAATATAGGAATTTGAATCCGTAAGAGAAGCAAAGCGCAATAATAATTTGAGAAATTTATGTTTTCTGGATTCTCTAGGAGATCTGACTTGTACATCTATCATGTTGTATGGTATTGTGATACGTGTTTAGCAGTTGTTTATGGCAATCGTGGTCAAACGTCAAGTATTATACAACTATATGAAGTTCGCACGACGAATAACGGAAGCGATGAAGCTGTGCTGAGATCGCATTGGAAAGAAATGCCCAAAGGGAAAATTCTACCTCGTTTTCTTAAACCGTACTTTGCACCATCGGGTATACACGCTGTCATCATACGTTATGACACATACAATGCTGATAAATCAATGCAAAAAGCATATCCCCATGTTGTTCGAATTGACTTTAATCAAACTGTAAGTAGACAGTACGAGAGGAGAAATTCCATCATACTGACCTTTGTATGTTTTCTTACAAAAGTATCCAGCGATTGGTGCAACATCACCAGGACATATCTATGCAGATGAAATCATCCACGTTGATGGTGACAATAACGTTTACTTTACTGGCTCACGTCAAAACTATTCACTAGAACGAGAAGTTTACCGGTAAGACAAACAAAAGAACGAAATTTATAATAAAGTTCTCATCAAATAGCTGGAATTACTTGGAAGCGCAAGCTAACGCCGATTGTATTTCATGTAATATTGCAAATCATTCCTGTGGTTATGCCAATGCACAATTTAGTCCAGGAAAAGGTAGTTATTACATACTGGAATGTTATGGACCATCAGTGCCGTACTCAACACTACACAATCTAACAGATCAAATCGGTAAATCGATTAGAAGTGTTTGCTTTCTCTAAACATCATGTTCGATAGGTTTAATTAATGAAAATGTCCCATTTCAAACATGGATTAACAATCGATTGATGCCATACGTTGATTTCTTCTCAGTGCCGCTCGATGGAAAACATTCAGGTAAAATCAAAACCTCAACGAGAATTTGCCTTCATAGAAAATCTTTCTAGTCGGTCATGGAATGATCATTTTCCCTCCAACATACAATCCGAATGTAACAATTGCGTCCTATCCCGTCATTGTTTCAATGTAAGATTATCTTTCCTTTCCGCCACGAATTTCAACAAATGTTCATCTCATTCAATAGAAATGATCGTTTGTATGACCAACGAGTGACGAAAAAATATGCACTACCATTAGTCGAGTGCGTCTTTTCAACTGATTCGAATACAACAGATGCATGTATATATACATTTAGGTTTGCTCATGTAACAAAAGATAATATTAGCATCGTTCTATTCGACTCACATGGTAGCACCGGACAAGATGAACATTACTTGAAAAATAATCAACCTGACTGGTTCGATAGACAATATAATGATTATATAAAAGTTGCACAGTAAGCGAAGTGAAAATAGAATCTTTTGTTGAAAATAAACTCGTTTTAGACATCTGAAATACCACGAGAAAAAGTTTAATGAAACGCTAAACAGCACAAGATTTGGATTAAAAGCACGAGTAAGTTCTCTTCACTTCACAATGGGAACCCCAGTGTAAATAATTGATTAGACAAAGCTTATTGTCTGTTTATAATTAGTCTATAGAGGAATTTCAGGGGAACGTTTAACTTTGATTGACTAGAAATGCAAATGTATATGTAGTTTGAGGATCAAACTCTCGAGACTCAAAGTTCTTGTTGACATGTTTCATTCAATGACAGATGGAAGTGTTTTTCTCTATATTGGAGCATCAGTGTTAATAAATAAACGATAATTACGCTCCAACTGTTGAGATATTTTCTAAGAGAACCTTGTATTCCAACTGAGAAAGGCATAAATTTATGGTTTACACTTTGTTTAAGGGTCCTGCTGCTGCTATTGCGCTGAAATTACTTGAACAACCGTATAAAGACAACTACGAATATAATTGTGCATTTCTGGATTCGCCTGTTGCTGATCTCTCGTATTACTGTAAGATTCCAACTTGCATATGAACAAGATTACATGTACTTTCCATTATACTAATTAGATGCTTTCTATACTGAACGAATCAATGGATTACAAGAAAATATTCAATCAGTAAGGAGCATCACGTCTGCTTCTATTGCAAATAGATAAATCGTTGTATTCTGTTTAGTCTCGTCGTTTGAACATCCGTAATAAAAGTATAGCGATCGTACATGGAACGGCTGATGGTAAATCTTGCTGAAAGGCAAATGATCTCACTTATATTTTTGTTTCGTTTAGAGGAAGTGCATTTTAAACACTCAGCAGCATTAGCAAAAACATTCATTCAACTGGGTGTTGATTTTCAATTCAAGGTTTATCCAGATGCAGACCATGATTTCGAAAAGCAACCAGCATTGCATGATGATTACTTTGTTTTCCAACGTAAATTCTTTCAAGATTGTCTTGGCGGACGAGTGAACAAAGAACGGAAACCAGTCATACCAGAAGAGCATGATTAACGATGACGCACACACACACACACATTCTATCGTTGTTCTTCCTTGATGTACCCCGGTGTATGACATGCATCGGAAAAGAAAACAAATTTGAATTTTATTTTGTGTATATATATATATTTTACAAATCCTATACATATACATACATATATATCCAACTTATTCTGTTCAGCTCAAGTTGTTTTTCGAGGAGCTTGTTAGCTTTATTTGTATTTTTGTTTTCTTTTGGTGTTTTATTTCCCAACGAAAAAAAAAAACAAGACAGACAATTGTTCAGATAGAAAATAGCGATGTTTTTCGAGACACTATATGTCTGGCGTCGATGGCATGGTAAGAAGACGACTGTTAAAACGTTTTGGTGGCCATATCTAGAATGCAATCGAATCGAACAAGACGAAAGAAATGCGTTTAGATGTTACTCTAGCTAATGTTTTTCCTTCGATTAAACCCATTGGTACAATTTTAATCTCTTCATGGTTGTTGTTTGTTAACAGACTAATAGCAACACTTCCTTTAGGAATCTAGAGGAAATGTTAAAGGAAACGAAGACAATGCTATGGAAGAATGTTACTCGAACTAGTTTTACTCTTGTATTCTTCGGTTGCGTATTAATCGTGTCATCAGTAACTGCTATCACACGGCCGAAGATTGTGTCATGATGATTGTCAGGTGATTTCACACATATCAAATCATTTCTACACTAAAAAAAAAACAATTTACCCGTAACTTTTTTTCGCGAAATCGTTCAATTTTCATATTAGCTGATAGAGTAATTAGATCTACCAAGTACGATTTTTTGTATTCAAACAGTTTTATTACAGAGACTTTCAACAAATTCAAGTAATACCTATTCAATGCTAATCGATTCCATTTATCTAGAATGACAATGTCACCTAATTGAAACAATTCATTATGATTCTCATCCAGATGAACAAAATCCATGAGAATCCGTTGTAACCAATAGCACGATATTCCGCCATATAAATACCGACCAAATGTTCGAATTAATGGTCTCATCGAATATCTACAAGTAAAATTTAATCATCATTTTCTGAATTAGTGTGTTGCATACATTCATATCTAGATATATCTCAAATAATTTCACACAAACACACTTTCGAGAACGAGAGAAAGACAATTTTGAACAAGTTAATCACACACACACACATAAATGTAAGAAGAAGAGCAAAATAAATAAATAAAGAAGAAGCGATCACCTATGTTTTTTGTTCAATCTGTACACAAGATTAAATAAAAGCAGAATAGACATGCACAATGAAAAAAAAAGGAAAAGGAAGAACGATCATCGCGGCTTGAAATTCATCTGTGCCAGGAGATAATCAAAACATGTACGAATATCTGACATCTCTTTCGATCTTACGATTTTCTTCTTCAATAAATAATCATAATCATCATTAGAAAAAGTATAACTGACATATGTAATTCATGCAGATAGATATTGAGAAAAAGAACACCGGAGAAAGATGCATTCTTTTATATTAATCTTCAGTTCCACTACTGTCAAATTTGAATTGAACTGGAGACTTTCGACTAATGAAAACGAAAATCAAAAGATATGGTTTGAACCCAAAGAAAAGAAACTTACAAATAGATATGATCATCATTGATATCTTCATCAGAATCACCAGGAAACAGACGAACTCGAAGTGGATCACCAACAACTGGTGGTGGAGGCGTTCTATAACATCAACAGTACATTTCATCATTCGAACAAGGATCAAACTTACAATCGAGACTTATCATGAATCGAATGAAGTCGAAATTCATCTACGAAGTAAAACGGATGAAGAATATATTTAACATTTAAAAAATCCCATACACACCATCTGAAAGTTCATCATGATAACCACCGTAATTTGGTGGTCGTTTGGGTTTTTTAATTGGTGTTCGACAGCCATGACTAGCTGGTGAATCAGTTCCACCAATTGATGAAACAGTCTATTGAAAAAGAATTCATTGATTTTCTCGAGAAATTCTATTGGAAAAAAATCATACATGTTCATGACGGTGTTGATTAAATGCAAACGGTGATGGCATATGACATATCTGAAACATCACCCATATCTATATCACTTTTCCATTTCGATTCACATACTTGATCACGAATCGTTGGACTATTGAGAACTTCTTTAGCCGACGGACGTAATTTGTGATCTGCATGTATCATTTGAAGTAAAAGTTCCTTTAATTTCATATCAGTTAACACTGAACACATGAAGAAATAAATACTCATTGAAAATTATCTTCGTTAGTGTTCTACCTGAAATGATTTCTACTGGAATGTTGGCTCCACGAATATCTGACCAAAGATCGCCTGTTACAGGCATATCATAATCACTAACTAATTCAAGTGCTGCCATGCCTAAGCTAAAGACATCAGCTGCTGTGGTTATTGTACCTGAAAGAACTTCAAATGCAAGATAACGCGCATCGCCATCTTGTGCCAATGTTGATGCCTATGAAAGAATACCAACAACGAATGAAAGATTTTTTTGAAAATAAAAACTTCAATTCCTACACTTCGTAGATCATGTACAATACCAAAATCACACAGTTTAAGAATGCCATCACTTGTAATGAGTATATTTTCAGGTTTTACCTTCAAATGATACGTGTGTCAGAATGAGTTCTCAAAATTCTATTTTTAGTACTTACATCCATATGAACGTAATATAATGAGTGAAGAAAATCCAGAGCCTAAAATCATTCGATTCAGTGAATAAAGCTATTGAAACAAGATGTTTACTTGACTAATTTGATACAGGAAATGCCAAATCATTGGTTGAGTCATTGAATGTTCAGCAGCATATTCTAATAAGCTATATGCACACATTCAGGGTAAAAACTTTTTTGGAATTCATTATTGATTTCATACTGACTTGCTTTCACAAAGTTCTGTTTGGATATATAAACGTTCGCGTTCTTCCCAGGCACGAATAATTTTCAAAATATTCTGATGTGTAGCGAGTGCTTCGTGAAAACGCACTTCTTTCAGTTTATGATCCCTGAATTTCCGATACAGACATCATTTCTTCGAGAAAAACCAATCTTACCGATCTGATTTCCCACGAAACTTAGTCAAAGATCGTTTAATTGCATACAACTGATTATCTTCTTTGTTACGAACTTTGTAAACCTAACGAGATCATTCAATAATATCCAGGCTTTTACTGTCTTTCTCTTACTTCAGCAAATGATCCACGTCCGATGCATTCGAGATGTTCGAAACATTCATCCCAATATGTCGACGTTATGGATTTGGTGTAAAAAGGACTTTCTAATGCTAAACAAGGATTAGAAATAAGATCAGAATGGAGATAGATGAGCAATACGTACCTATACCGTAAGAATCTGTACTAACTGACACAGCATTCGATGGACGAATGGCAGCGGCAGGTGTGAAGTATCGAAAGACACGGCATGACACAGGTTTTGGTGGTTGATGTAATGCTGCACCACGACGACTTGCCTGAGACGAAATCAATTCGTTTAGGAATGATTCGAAACAGAAGAAAAAAAACGTATGATTTTACTTTTTTACTCGAAAATATATGAAATGAATTGTTTGATGTTCGTTCTGGGGAAAAAATCAGTTCACTTTCAGTCGTCATCCTTGTCTCGTGTGACAAGGTCATCAAAACAGAATCTGGAAGTATAAGAAAAATGCATCGCACGCTGGAACATTCGTTCATTGGAAACAAACTCTTCATCGAATGAAACTACTTCATTGTTTTTTTTATTGAAATGAATGACAAGTAAATGGACAATTTTCAGTAGATTGATATTAGTAAACTGATCAACAGACAGTCAGTCGTATTAGTATTGTCCTCTACGTGAAATATTTGTTTGCTTTGAAGAAAGTTTTGTAAGTCAATAAATTGAAAAAAAAAAGAAACACAACATTCATTAACATCTGATTTAATCTGTGTATTTTAAGCCAAATGTATCAGATGAATCGAATGTGAAATATAGAGAAAAAAAAAGTTCAATGAATAGAAATAACTGCTAGAATATTCATGTCAAAAAAAATTGTGTGCTGATGTTTAGGCTGTTATTCATGTTCGTGTTGAGTTAGTGGATGTAAGCCATGGACATGACGATCCAGATTAGCCTCAGCTGCTTTTTCGGGAATGACTGTATCACCATGCGAATTCATACCATTCAAATTACTAGTCGAAACAGGAGTTTTCGTTGGATGGTGTTCAACAACTGCTTCTTTTTCAGCAGAAAGTGTGCCTTCAGCAGCTGCCTTAGTTGGTAATTTGGAATTACCGTGTTCATCCATACCTTGCGTATTAGATGCCATTGTCTACACTATCTATTTTTCAGGCAAAAGATATTGAATGAGAAGAAATCTAAAAAATGACATATACACATTTGCATTTTTGATTTTTGTCATCTCATTATATTATAAACTCTATTTTTCGATTTGAATTTCTTATGTCACACACAGGAAAAAAAGAAAGAAAACCAATTGAGAGAACAAAGAAGTAAAGTTGAACAAAAAAAGCCAATTTACGGTAGTTGTTTGTTTGTTTGTTTCTTGATGGTAACACACGCCGTTGATGACAAAATGAATAGTCCGCAAAGAAATACGACGTAGTATGCGTGTACGTGCATGAATTATTAACGCACGAAAGAGAAAGAGAAAGAAAAAATAGAGAACAACATCAATAATAACAACAGAAGAGGAGAAAAAAGAAAAATACAATCAGTCAAGAAGAAATGAACGATGCCCGTAGACAAACAATCAAACAAATAGAAGAGCAGAAAAAGAGATTCATTGTCTGTACAGATTTAGATTCGAAAATAGGAGATAAATTAGAATGAAAGAATTCTCACAAATAACGTGAGATACAATTATTTTGGTTTCGTCTTCTTTGATTGAGATCACCAATAAGGAAGTTGTTGAACACCGTCTACACCTAGATTTGATGGTGGTGGTTGAAGATCATTGAATTGTGGAGCAAACGATGGATCATTTGTTGACATATTACTCATACTAGTAAATTGTTGTTGAGATGCAAACATCGTATTGTTACCATTCGATCCAGGTGGTCCCTGTGGTTGCCCATCAGGACCATTTCCTGACGATGCATGATAATGAATTGTACCCGTTTGAAGGTCGGGCGGTGGTCCACCGGGACCTAGATTTTGAATATTCAATTGCTGTATAGACATTGTCGTTGATACGTATGTATTATTGATTGACTGAGGCGGCGGTCGACCATCGTTCGGATGCATTGGTTGATGATGCATTTGTGGATGAGGCTGCATATGAGGGTGCATGTGAGGGTGATGGGGATGATGAGACGGTGGTGGTGGTTGTCCCATACCAAAGCCGTCGTCCATCATCGATGGGAAACGCATATGTTGCTGTGGATGCCCTGGCAGTGGTGGACCACCTAGCATTGGATCCATATTGTGCATTTTACCGTAGTGTGGTGGTGGTAAATGATGAAGATGTTGTTGCATGGGATCGGACGACGGTGGTGGTAAACCTTTTGAAGAACGCGGCGGACCGCCAGGATGTGAGAGCATCATTCCAGATGGATCATGTACATGATGTGGAGGCATCATTTTGTACATGTGTGGATGTGGGGGTGGTAGATTACCGCCATGATGTGGATTGTAATGTGGTGGCATAGGTTCTAGCATGCCCATCATTCGATGATGTGGATTCATATTCTAAAGAAAAGAAAATCCCCGAAGATATTAAGACAATCCTATTTTTTAAATTCATTTTTCATACTTGAAACTGCATTTGTTGTTGTTGTTGATGATGAGGTGGCAAAGGCATATGAGACGGTGGAGGTAATTGATCTATAGATCTAGTCATATGTGGTAGATTTTGACTAGCTAACGATGGTCCACTACCAGGAAGATTAGACGATAACGATGATGGTTTCGAAGATGAAGCAGTTGATGAATTGTATGGCGAATTAGCCGATTGTAAACTATTAGTCATTTGTAACATACTGCTTAGAGGTGGAGCCATGTTGGATGTTGGCGTTTTCGGACCACCGTTCATATCCAATGGTTCGTCTTTAGCTGATGAATTTGGATTGTTTGAAAGCATCAATGGTGATGACAGATTACTGTTGCCGGGTAATTTTCCAGGTCTTGGTGACGCAGCTGATACACCGGAGGGTGTGAGATGTGAGGGTGGCCCTTGCGAAATATGCGTAGGTGTTCCAGGATCAGTCAATGGTTGCCCACATGATAATGGATTCATATTATTATTTGGTGTCGATGTTGATCGTGTCATTGGTGTCATTGGTTCATCTTTCAACGATGAAGAAGAGGATGGTATTGGCGGACCACCGCTAACTCCATTTGATGGACGATAAGCGCGATTCAAATGCCTAGAAATCATCAATTCTTCGCCTTCCATCCCTAAAACATAGATAAAAGGAGTTGACATGAAAATTTATCCCCCAAGGTATCTGTATATGTACCGAATTCATTATAGTCCATTTGTGTTGGCGATGCTGTTAATTGTACTTCACCAACATTGCCGCCTAGTTTCTTGTTCACGGATGATGGTAGAGAATCGGGAACAAATTTTTCTGGTTGTCCAACTTTGTACAGACGGGGAGCACCCGATGGTTCCATTTTCGGGGAAAGTAATTTTCCATTTGGTCCCAAATTACCACCTGCAGATGTTGTAGCGATTGGAGGTGTTAATGAAGAAGGTGATGCTGAAGAGTACGGTGGCGGTTGTCCGCGCATAAGTTGACCTTTCCCTTCCATATGTTCCATTTGCATCTTATTCCAGTCTCGTGCTGCTTGGGATTGTAGATGTGGCGGAGGTAGCTGTCCATATAGATCACCTGGTCCAGGTCCATATTGTCCCGGAAAATTTGGTGGCATCGGTCCATTCATGTAACCAGGATGTGGTTGCGGTACACCGTTCATATCAAGCATCATTCCATCAGGTCCTCGCATACCTGGAGGTAACATATGTGGCGGTGGTGGCCCAATTCCCATCATGTGATGCGGTGGGCCGACACCATGTGGACTGTTCATCATCATCATTTGTTGTTGATGTGGATCAAGCGGACCCGGAGGCAATGGTCCGCCGTTCACTGATGGTGGCATATTCGCAGCAGCAGCAGCTGCTGCTGCTGCAGCATTAGCATTTGCTTTACTTCTGCCGCCACGAGCCCGTCCGCCCGTGATTTTTGACTTTAAATCTTCGATTTTATTCAATTGATTTTTTCGATGTTTGGCTCGTTCAGGTGTTAGATTTTCGATTCCGTCTGATGGTGGCTGACCATTCATCATCATGGGACCAGGTGGCATGAGATGATTCGGTGGAGGTAGACCACCAGGACCGGGCGTGAGACGACCAAAAGGTGGCTGTTGTTGATGTGGATGATAGTGTGGATGCGGCCAATTTGGTGGTGGACCGCCGTTTGGATGTGGTAAGTGTGGATTGTGCGGACCGGGACCACCCATCATCATTTGCATAGTTCGAGGTGAATGACATCCGGGTGGTGGTGGACCGTGATTCATATGTATCGGACCGCCAAGTAACGAATTATTAGGACCATTGTTCATATTATTCGAGAGAGTCTAAAACAGTAAAAGAATAAGAACCGAAATCAAAACTCATCATTTACTAACATTCAAATATTGAGTAGTTGATGGTAAAGCTCTATGATAATCAATAATATTCGGATGGTCATTTTTCATAACAGCTTCAGCAGCTTCATTTGCCAATTGTGTTGTAAATACAAACACTTGATTATTTGTTTGTAAGAATGGGCTTTCATTATTTGCTGCATATTGATTTCGTGGTGACATTGGCATGTAAGATGATGGTGGCATTGTGGGTAGAGGTTGCTGTTGTTGTAAAGATGGTGGTGGTGGCGGTGGTGTTTGTTGTGTAAATAAGGAAGAATTAGGCGTTGTTCTACCGATGTTGTTATTATTATTATTATTGTTATTAGTATTACTTGCTGGACCAAAATCGTATGATGATGGACCATTATCATTACCATTACGAGATGGTGTTGAAGAAGGTGGTGGATGCTGTAAAGGACCATTCGATAGCGCTTGAAAAACAACAACAACAAACAGTTAGTTCGTTTTATAACGAATACAACACAAAAGAGATTTCTCTTACGTGTTCCTGTTCTACTAAGTGATCGTTCAGGTTCAGTTTGCTCAGTCTTTTGCGGTTTAATCGCAGATAATGATTCGAGATCAGTTGATGATGGATCACTAAGCTCATCGAGTTTGCGTTTATTAGGTTTGTTACTAATCTGTACTGGTGGTCTCGACGAAAAAATATCAGAAAATTGGTTCATAGGAGATTCCGACGAAGGCATTGGATGAATCGGTTCATTAGAATGTAATAACATGGTTGCGGGCGGTAATGTTCCACTCTCCATATCATCATTTACTAAAACAACTAGCATACACCCATATGAGCAAACCAAAAATATGAATATATTTGAAAAGTATCAGATACATACCAAAAATATTAGTAGATGATTGGAAATGAATATGAATAGATAATTTGAATTAGGCGAAAGTCGTTGCAAACGATGAAGCCGATTTGGCTTTTCTTGTATTGTTTTTCATTTGTATTGATCCTTTACATCTGTTAGTATTCAATCTGAAATAAACATTGAAGTTTGACACAAAGGAGAAGATTTTTTTCTCGTCTTTGTTGACGCCAAACAAGCAAAAGTGCGCTAGCATGCGACACGTTCACTACAGCTCGTTCACGTACGTACATCATGGGAGGAGAAGAAGAATGTCAAAAAAGAACAAATAACGGGTTGGCTCTCTCTTCCCTTCTTTCTCTTTCCTACGTTCAATCTGCCGTCCGATCGTACGCGTTCCCTCTGTCTGTCTGTTTCTTCTTCTTCTCCTTCTCTTTCCTTGTTCTTCCATTGATCGTGTTCGTTTGCCAACCACATAGAACAACTGTTCAAACTGAGAAGAGGAGAGGATAAGGAAAAGAAGAAGAAAATAAAGGAGAAGAAGAAGACGAAGAACGAGCGCGTATATATGTGCACGAGCGCGTTGAGCATCCTTCATGCTCCAAGCATGCTGCACGAACAGCAAAGAAGAAGCAGCATCGGCGGCCTGCATCACGCGAAACGCGAACAAGAATAACAACAACAATAACAGATGCGTAAAAAACAACATCTCCACTATAGCCCACTGTGTTCCTTTCCGTGTGTATGCATGCTCGCGCGCGCTGAGATGTCTCCATTTTCCATCGTTTTTTCTCTTCTCGTTCTTGTCGTTCCTTCCTTTGTCTGAGCAAAGAACCGAGAAAGCAGTATGGAACGCGAAAGAGCAAAAGACGGAAAACATTCTTCGTCTTCTTCTTCTTCTCTGTTCTTATCATAAAGCTTTTCCCATAGATGCTGAAGCTAGACTACTGACGCTACTAAAGAATAATCAAATGGAACAAAGAGAGAAAGAAGGAAAGAAAAAAAAGCGAAAAGGGAGAGAGAAAAATTGTAGGATAGACAGACGGATGGAATTCATTCTATTGCTACAAATACAATACTATATCCATATAAAACAATCATGGTCATTGTCACGAATTTTTCGAGTTGAATGAACATGCTAAAATTTAAAAAAAAAACGAAGGAAGAAAGAAAGAAAGAATCTACGCATTGAATTGAATAACCAACGAAACAATGATTGGACATTGAAAAGAAAGTTGACATAGAACAAAAAAAGTTCTCTTGCTTTGATAATAATATGTTCATTTCCGGACGTGTATCTTGTGCGTGTGTATATTCACAAGGCATGTAACCATGAAACGATGATGAGGTGCCGCCATGCTCCCTAAGGTGTATAGCACAAGAGCGAAAAAAAGAGGGACAGAGAACGTGTGTGTGACATAGCGAGCACACAGTTGACCAAGCAGAGCACTCATTCGAAGTATATGTTGGCTCAAATAGAAAAAAAAGGAGAGAAAGAACGTGTGCCTCGAGGGACAATAGAATGACGGCAATACTTGTTGTTCGATGCTGTGACACCAACATAGTATGCTTGTTCGAGTGTAAAAAGTACTGGACAAGAAAAGTGGATCAAGTAGGCACCACCAAACAAGATGATCTATCAAAAAGTACTAGTAAAACAAGCATAATTTGATACACACTGTAGATAGAAACAATGGCGATGATGATGATGATCATCATCATCCTCATCATCATCATTATTATTGTGCTGCAAAGGATCCATCTCTTTATCTATCTATGTTATGAGAAGGAGGAGAAACGATGAAGAAACCCGACACCATCATTCGTATGTAAACAGAGCGATAGATGGATAGATAGATAGATAGATAGATAGATAGTGTTTCGGCACCAGTCTGACCTGGACCGCCAAGGATTTTTCTTCTTCTCCGTTTTTTTCTATAAGTAAATATTAAAAAAAAACTGTGTACATACGATATCTGCATGTGTATATATATCTACGCATTTCAAGTTTTTTTCTCGATGTCTTTCCATGCATTCATGAACAGGAAAGAAATTGTCTCTCACAAATGAATAAGTAGTAACGTAATTCAAACAATATTGATGACAGAAGAAAAAAAAATGCCATATATACACACACACAATCATACACAAACAGAAAGAAAAAGAAGAAGAAGAAGAAGAAAAAAACAGAACTATGTGTTAAGAATACGTAGAACTTCTTGCTGCCACGGTGTGCTCGTTTGGACAAAAGATGAAGTGAGTGAGTGAGTTAGAAAGGGAGAACGAGAGGAAGACTGAGTAAAAACGAGTATGGAACGAGAAAAGAAAAGGAAAGTAAGAGTGAGAAACACTATCGAGAGAAGAAAACAAACAGGCAGCATGCTACTATTTGTCAAAGTTCGCTTAATGAAAATGACATATTTAAAGTACGAAAAAAAAACATGACACAAGAAAGCGAAAATTGATTGTTAGTCAATTATGAATGTTTATGTATTTTATTATTTTCCATTGTGACAATCAATAAATCTTACTTTTCCTATCTTAAAAATCATCACTCACCGTTCATTTCTGTCGTCGTCACCCTCATCATTATCATTATCATCATCACGGTTGTCGTTTAATACATTTTCTTCGAGACAGCAAACATGATGTAGAAAAAGAAGACGAAGGCAGCAGCGGGGAGGAGAACGACGACGATCATGATAGAGGCAAAGAGGAACAAGAAGAGAAGAGACACCTTTCCCGTGCATATCATGCTTCACTGATTTCGAACAAATGACATAGGTAGGCAAGCACAAGCAACTAGGCACGCATACTCAAATATTTATAGCAAGAAGCTACTGTCACTTCAACTATCATCAGTCTATTCTTTCATCTAACTCATAGAATAAGTCGATATTGTAATTGAAATATGAAACGTCCTTTTTTTACTTTCACTTTTTGTTTCAATAAGACAAAAAATAACAGAAACATATTTGTCTTATTAATTTCGTCGATGATGAGGGGTGAAAGAAGAAATCAGATAGATTTATTGACTTTTTTCTTAATACGGGCAATGATGATGATGATGATGATGATGATGACAACCTTGAGAGACAGAAAAAGAAAGCAAGAACGAACAAGTAAAACCATGCATTTCCATTCTGCACACTTGATTCTTCCTCTTTTTCCCTTTGCGAAAAGAGATCGATGCGAACGATAGGGTCTTGAACTTATCATCTCTTTTCTCTTTCTTTTTCTCTCATCTTCTTTTTTTACTTACACGACTTTTTTTTATGACGCCAGACAGTTTCCTTCTTCTTCTTCTTTTTCCCTTTCTTTAGACAACCATCCACTCATTTTATTCCGTTATTCTTCTTCTTTTTCTCCTTCTCCTCTTTCTCGTTTCTGTTACTACTATTTGTGCTCGAGTTACCGCTTCGCGGTGTGAATACTGTAACTCCAATCATTATGATCGTCTTTGCTACTAGAATAACACTCGTTTAGATTCTTCTATGGTCAGCTTTTCCTTTCGATCTGAATCAAGGTACTCACAAACAAACTCTGCTCAAGGAGACCTGTCATCATTGAACGCAGTTCTCTTTCTTACGCGTCAGGAGAAAAGTGATAGTTCTAGGTAGTTGTCCATCATTAGAGTCACTCGAATCAGATAAAACGATGCGAGTGACAATGACATAAATGAACATTGAAAGAATGAATAAACGTGTCAAATAATGAGCATTTGTACATTCAACCAACAACATACTCGTTTATCAATCATCCGACCATGACACCTATTTTGTTATGAAGTGTGTTGATTGTCAACAAAGAAGCGAATCAGTGGAAAAAGAAAGAAAGAAACATACTCTAATTAATATTGATGCGTACGATTCAAATCGAAAGTTATCCATCTAGAATACGAGAATATCTAAAACAAACAACACAATCAGTTTGTTAACAAGAGAATTTTTATTTTGTTTCCGAAATCTCTTTCCCCTCTTTTTCTTTTGTCAATTCAAAAACAGAAAAAAAGGACGAATATTAATTTGTAAACAAACGTATCGTTGAATCAGCGCCGGATGTAAATATCCACGGTTGTGTTGGATGAAATACACAATCTAACATTGACAGATCATTACTAAATTGATGTCCACGTAAGATCTTCACTGGTACAATCATTGGATTTTTCAATAGATCAGAATAAACTGAACAATGTGAAATAATACATGTTCCATCATCACTTGTCGAAGCAAACAATGGCAATTTCGAATGATAACGAACGCAACGTATGGCGCGTTTATGATAACGATATGTTTCATATGGTTTAACAGATAAATCTAAGTCAAACCAATTAATTTTAGAGTCATAACCACCACATAAGATATTATCGCCTAATGGGTGTATATCGATCGATGATATCCATTTCGTGTTCACGTACAGACGCTTAATTAATTGTTGTTTCAATAGATGATAGATTTTGATTGAATGTTGTGTAGCAATGACAAATATCGGTTTTGTTGGATGAAATCGTACGTGTTGTACGGCGCCTTTCAACTGTTTGAATGGATACTGAGAACGTCCTTTGGAGAGATGATGTATGCAGATAGATTTCGATTGTGATTGATCAGAACGTGGCGCTGCGACACATCCAAGATAATCACCACGCGCTTGCCATTCGATTTGACGAATTGGTATCGAATGTGTAACTGTTAAGCGAATGTATTTATCTGTTTCTTCCGATATTTTTGTCCATTGACAATCATCATTTGTTGATGATTCATACGTTAATTGTTTAATAAATTCATCAGTAAAAATCACTTTTGCATTTTCGCCTAAAGAACACAAAACAACAAAAATCGATCATCAATGAATGATAGCATTTGTTCATTACCTAATTTCGGATTGATCATAACAATTTGTGTTCCTGTTGCAACAGCCAACAATGACAAAACAGGATTCCATTGAATCGACACAACAGGTTTATCGAATGTGAAGACATTCATACATCTTGTTGTAGCGATTTCCCATACTCGAACAGTACAATCATCGCTTCCACTTGCTAACCATTGTCCCGATGGATGACAAGATAAAC